GGAGCCTGGTATTGATGTGAGCAGGCAGAGCCTTGCCTTGTTAATATTCAGTCTGGCTTATCATGTGTCTGTGGGAGGCTATCCATACCCATTTCCTTGGGAATCTTCTCCTGGCAGGTTATGTAGATATTATTGGGTTTGGCTGCAGCTGGAAAAAACAGGCAGGTTTCAAAGGCAGAGTCTCCCTCGAGTGGAACAACGTTGCAAAAAGTTCATTGTTGGACTTGGGATATAGCACGTGGTGGTCTCTCCATCATAGCCATGTGGGTGGAATTGGCAGGCTGTCTTCTTCTATAGGCATTGCCTTTCAGGATAGTGATCACCAGCTTTTCGTGAGGTGATGCTGGCTTTGTTTAGAAGGTTCCCAGACTGATTGTTCACATATCACACCTTGTCCCCATGAGCTCTCTGCTATAGGTGAGTTAATTTGAGACATATTTGGAAGAAGGGTCCTTTCTATCTCTCTGTATCTCCGGGGAATGTTTCAGTGAAGTGTCTGTAGGCAGAGCTTTGGTAGTGATCCCGGCAGCACCCAAGGCCAAGGGAGCTGGGAATGCTCAGCAAATTGTTACGTAAACGCTGCCATTCTTCTGGCACTTGAGGGAACATGGTATTAGTAAGCATTTGTCTAATACTGAAGATTTTTTGCAGATCAAAGACTTAATATATGCCACATGCTGCAGAGGAGCTTACAGCAGAACATGTACAATCGTGCAGTCCAATAGTCCAGCGAAAATGGATTATTCCAGAGCCAGTCCATGCTGTTCATTATGTCTGGGAAGGGGCAGGACCAAAGGATAGGGGGGATATTTGCTTCAAGATGTGTCAAGCAGCTCGAGTAGAATTCTCTGCACCCCATAGTAGTGCAAGAAGTGGCCGGGGTGGGATCCTGGTGGCGAGGGGAGCGTTCCCTCCCGGCTGCCAAGTCCTGCCTGTGGACAAGTCTAATCTGCCTCCCAGCCAGCCCGCCCCGGCGCGGGGTCAAAAAGTAATCGCTCCTAAGCAAAGCAGCAAAACAAGCAAAAGAGAAATTCTCACGCTTGCTTAGGGTGATTAGCTGGAGAGCGGATCACCCTGGGGGGGGGCTCCGTGGGACCCTGGGAAAGGCCGGTGTGTGGGAATAGCACGGAGGGTCTGTGCTCCAGAAGTGCTGGGCAGTATTGTTGCTAAAGCAGGAGAGCACCTCTTACCTTACCCGGTGACCTCAGCCCAGCATGTCAGATTCCATCCAGCAGCTGGCAGAGGTGTCCACGAGGGTTATTTTCAGTGGCTCCTGGTTTTAGGTGTGATTCTGTTCAGGTTTGTGTTTTGAGGAAGCTGGCAAAACTGGGGACCAATCAGAACCTCCCTGCTTGCCTTTATCCGGTGTCTTGTGCTGGCATTAACGCAGAGTTAAAACTGGTTTGGGTAATGGATGAATTTTGGAAAGAAAAAATTACTTTAACTGTGGTAGAAGTGTCTGCACAAGTGTTTCACTGCTCTGACTGTGGATGGCTTTGAACTGGGCTTAGGCCGAGTGAGGCAACCCCAGAAAGGAATCATGCCCTATTTTAATAAGACTGCTTGGAAAGCCCCTTTGACAAACAGCCTTCCTCGATAACAGTTCCACAGGCTCTGGGCAGGGATTTGCACCAGGTCTCTGGGGAATTTCTGTAGCTGCCAATGCACTTGGAAGTAACAGAGAACTTCGTGCCCAAAGGTCCCTTTGGCCCCGGGTGGAGGAAGCAGTTGACTGAGCTGCAGTCCCAAGGGTCTTTAGAGGTGTCCCTGGTAACAGCACACTGAAAAAGCAGGAGGAAAACCATATTGGTTGAGTGGAGAAGAGGCTGTTTAACTTGTACATCGACACAGATGGATACCCCCAGTTCCCTCATCCCAAGGCAGCATTGTACACCTAGAGAGCCAGGCTGAAACCACCTTCCATCCACGACCAGCCAGGCCCTTGGCACTGAAGCAGGAGGTGATTTTAGGATACAGGCTGATGCCACAAAACCTCCAGCACTTCCCTGTGTGGCTCTGCCATTGCCTTGGACAGCGAGGGAGGGCTCCCACCAGAGCCATTTTTGGAGCGGGCCTGGGAAGTTCAGCCGTGCCTGATTGAGGTTGTCGTGCTAGAATGTGTCTCTCCCTATTTCCAAGCTCCCTGAGATTCCTCTCTGTTGATGGAGATTGATTTTTGCCTTTGGGAACCCGAGGGTATACATTGTGCTCAGAATTGGCCTGAGCTGAACTAGGAGAAACTGCTGATGTGTTCATCCCCTTCTGTAAGTGATGGATTTTATAAGCTGCCTCACGGACCACGTGTGGCTGGACGGAACAGGAAAGGGAAGAGAGGGAAGTGAGAGACATCACACATGGATGGCATTACCCACGTTTTGTTGGAGCATTTTACCCTCTACAATTCACATCTAAATTCCTCTCCCATTCAGGGGAAAAATATAATCCCAGCCATCTACATCTCTGGATTAGCCTTTTCTCTGCTGCATTTGTCTGCTGACCATCAGGTTGTTTTCTTGAATGAGACAGCAAGGAAAACCATATAAACCAGCTTAAGCAGCAGCAGCTGCTCCTGGCGTCAGCAGTGCTGGTTCCAGCAGCTCCCAAACTGGACTTAGGAGGTGGAAGCAAAGGTGATGGCCAAGGCTGGGGCAGGCTGGCTGGAAAGGTCAGGCAGTGGAGGGCTCCAGGGGTCACCCCCTGGGTTAATGACTCTCCAGTCCCTAAGCTCAGGCTGAGCACAAGGTGTTCACCTGGAGATTAAGATGAAAATATTTTCTCCTTGCTAAAGAGAGCACATAAACAACCCATAAACGGCCCATTAACCCACAAAATCGCAATAAAGAACATGTGGTCAAGCGAGCCATCAGGGACCTGTGACCCAGCAAACCCCTTAATGGGATTGTGAACCTTATCATCGGTGCTAAACATGGATAATGGGAAATTACAGCAAGGAAAGAAAGAAGGGGTGTTGGGTGATGGGCACCCAGGTTCAATGAGTAAAATGTTGTGGAATGGACATGTTATGGGATGGAATATCAGGATAACACTTCCATGTAACAACACCACTTCAGAGTGACTCAAAAGAGAGAGTTTTCCCATCGGCTCCAGCAAGTGCCTTCAGCAGCTCAAGGAGCTGTGCTTCCTTTCTCTTACAGCCTCTTCCATGTACCAGCCACTTCTGTGCTCCACGCTGCTTTTCGAAGCAATAGGATGGACCTTTACTTGTTTTCTATTTGTGATGTTTGAATTCTGTTTGAATATAAAAGTATATTGGGGGTCACTAGCGCAGTTTGAGCTGGAGGATGATGGAACACGCATGGTACAGGTACTCTGCCATGTCATGCCACCCCCCTGCCTTGGGCAGGGACACCTTCCACTAGCCCAGGTTGCTCCAAGCCCCATCTAGCCTGGCCTTGGACACTTCCAGGGATGGGGCAGCCACAGCTTCTCTGGGCAACCTGTGCCAGGGCCTCCCCACCCTCACAGGGAAGAATTTCTTCCCAATATCCCATCTAACCCTGCCCTCTGGCAGTGGGAAACCATTCTCCCCTTGTCCTGTCACTCCAGGCCCTTGTCAGAAGTCCCTCTCCAGCCCTTCTGGAGCCTGCAGGAAGATGAATGCCTCGTGATGGGAAGGCTGCTGTAGCAGTGGGACAAAATACTTGGGTGCCCAGGGAATTCCAAGGGCATTTATGATCACAAGTATACTTTCAGTCAAAAAGAAATCTATATTATCTGTGTTGCCCTAACTGATGAAGAAATGCATTTGCATCAACCTTTGCTGAATAATATAGGAAGAAAGCTGTGAAAGTTTATTTAAGAAAAAAAATCAGAGGAAGAAAGGGCATGTTTGTTACTGGTTCCTTTTTTCCCATTGCAAATTGAGATTCTGTTTACCCTGGAAAAATCAATGTGATTGGACACCTGGTGTAATTAATTATTTTGCAAGAGACAGCCAGCTGATCTTTTGAAAAGAAAGGAGTTTTTAAGCAGGACTGTTCAAAGTTCATAGTCTGCTGTGTATCTCTAATACTGATAAACATCCAGCAGAAAGGATGCCTGTCTTAAAATTTCCCATGGCCACACCTTTGTTTTAAGGTGATACCCTCAGAAAAAGGCTGTAGGCCCCAAGGAGCCCTCCAGCAAGGTGACTCCTTGGCGTGGGCTCCTTTTGCCTTTGGGAGATGCCCTTAGGCCTCGGGATGTGGACATCGATGCTCGTGGCTTTGAATTTCGAATCACACATGGTTCTTAACCAGGAAGGGGTTTCTGCTCCTTTTTCTTGGGCTCTTAATGCAAATGGACTTTGCTTGTGCTGTATGTTAAACTTTCCCCTAAGCGGGCAGTCTTTTCCAACTGGGACCAGTTGTTTCTTTAAAGTGCACTGGTGCCTGACTAAATGGCAGTGGGTCGCATTCTTCATGTATAGATGAGACAACCCTCCTGTTAAATATTCCTGTGTTTTCCAGCGGTGGGCTGGGGAAGTTCCTGCCTGCCTTGCAGGCCAATGGCAACCCCAACCTGAGTGCCAGGGAGGGAGGGGAGAGCCAGCAGTGGGATGCTGTGCCAGCACGCCTCAAGTTGGTTTGGCCGGAACTGGTTTTAGGTCATATAAAAAAGGGGGTGAAGGATCTGGGCTGCTCAGAGAGCGGCAGGTCCTCGGGCAGCGCCGTGGAGCACATTGGTTTTGAGCTCCATAGCGCTTTTTTTTACAAGGGCTGCAAATTGCTGTAACATAGTTAAGGTCTGTAGGAAGGGACGAGTCTTTCCTGAACTTTACTCCCGGCTTGAACTTGTCAGAAGTTCAGTGAGAGGCAAGGAAGGGGAGAGAGATAGAGGCACCCTCGCTCTCGCCCCTGCGTCCGCAGCGACGAGGATGTCAGATGGCAAAGGCAGCCTGGACAAACAGCTGAACGGCCTTGGGGAGCAGGGGAAGGAGAGGAGCCGCCTGTCCCTGGTCATCTCCCAGGCCCTTAACCGCAGTATTTTCACCTCTGCAGTCTCCCCTGCTGCCGAACGCATCCGCTTCATCCTCGGAGAGGAAGATGACAGCCCGGCGCCCCCGCAGCTCTTCACCGAGCTGGATGAACTCCTGGCCGTCGACGGACAGGAGATGGAATGGAAGGAGACTGCAAGGTGGGTTGGTTTTCCTTTACCTTGAACGGTGAGGGCAGCCAGCAGGACTCCCGTGGCAAATTGCTTTTTTAGCATTCCATTGGATAATACCTGTGCTGCAGGACTGTATAGGGTAGCCACAGAAAGGAGCCTGTGTGGTTCAAATTACCTTTCTTTGATAAACGAGAGAATTTAAAAGTTCGTTTAAATATTCCTTTAAAACAACAACTAGGAAAAAATAGAGTGCCCGTTTGATTGGAGTCAATTGCCTGTGGACAGACAACTATGGGCTTTGCACAGGTGGACATGCTGCTGGCTGGAGTTGCCAGAAGTGGGTGCCTGAATCAAAACTACTTCAATTCTGTTGCCTCACAGTAGCTTTTGAGCTTGGTCCCACTGCAGGCCACAAGCAGGGAAATTCTGACCGTCACTCTCCTTCCTAATGATGGGATTAATTTTAAATAGGAAATGAAACTTAAAGGTTTTGCTTGTGAAGAAGTTATTCAAGGTGTGTGTTAAATGCTGGATGGGGTTGCCTGCTTTGAGTTCCTTGGTTGGGTTCTTTGATGCTGTTTTTGTTTTGGTCAAAAAGCCATACAAAAAAAAAAAGGGAGTGTTTTGGGTCTGGCTTCCACAAATTACATGGAGTTTGTTTCTAAACACCACTGAAAGAGGCATTGGGTTGGATTTGTGGCCTATTGCCACTCACCTTCAGTGAGCTTGGGGCTTTTCCTTTTCCCTTATGGTGGCTGGGCTAAGCTCTTTCCTCACCTCCCACTGTTAAGGGCACTGTCTGTATTTATAGTTAGCCCATGTTTGACTACCTTAAACTTCTTTACCTGCAGTTTAATGAGCTACTCCACCACATACCCCTTTACCCCCTTATCTTCCTTCATTTATATTTCTCAGTCACTTGGGGAACCTATAGAACAACTTTTCACCTTTTTAACTTCTGGCTTATTGCTCACCCTTTTCTCCCTTTATTGCTTTTCTTCCCTCTTGTCATTAGTTCAGTACTTTCTGGGCTTGGGTGTTTTCACACTTCTTTGGTAGAAGGGCTGCATGGAGCTGTGTGTGGGATTCTCTCTCAGGCTCTCCTTCCTAGTAACAAGTCATAGGATGAGAGGAAATGACCTCAAGTTGTACCTGGGAGGTTTAGCGTCCATATTGGGAGAAATTTCTTCACCCACAGGGCTGTCTGCCCAGGATAGTGGTGGAATCCCCATCCCTGGAGGGATTTAACAGGCACAAACCACCTGCCATCTCCCCGCCTTGTAGAATGACAGTACCCACCCTACAGTGGCATCTTGGTCCCCAGAAGGTCCCACTGAGCCTCAGAAACAGGCTGGGGCCTCTGCCTTCTGCAGTTTTTTTCCTTTTCCTGCTTTGCTCTGTATCCTGTGACTACCTCTGGAATGCAGGCATTCCCAAGCGAGTGCATCCTGGTTAGTGGAAGGTGTCCCTGCCCATGGCAGGGGGTTGGAACTAGACGAGCCCTGAGGTCCTTTCCGAGCCAAACCATTCTGTAATTCCTTGAATAGAGCAGGCGTTGGTTCACCCAGGTTTGCAGGCTAATATTTGTTTTGTTGTGTTGGTATTGTGGATTTCAGTGAGAAAAGTAAACAGAAAGCAAATATTGATAGTTGTGAGTAATCGCTTTCCCTGGAAGGACAAACACTTGGTAATTTGCAGCCTTTCTGCTGTTAAGGGGTAAATGTGTCTCGGTGCCACATCCCACAGAGCCCCGGAAAAGCACAGATTTGCATCCCCCCAGGTCCCAAAGGTGTCCTAGGAAACACCTGTTTTTTGTGAACAAGAAGAACTTTATTATTTGGAGATGAAAATCAATCTTTTAGCTTGAGTTAAAAAGCAGCTTTAAAAAAACAAAGTCTCAAAAAGAGATTATTGCAGTTGTAAAGCATAATTGATTAATCCCCAAATAATACATTTTTTCAGGATTAAATACAATTTACTTGCTGTTAATAATGTTCTTTTGAACCCATTTATGAGCTTCCTTACCTTTACCTTTTTGTGTGGGTTTTGTCTTAGTAATCCCCTTATATTAGTCACTGGAATTTTCATTTTCCACATATATTAAAATGTGTCTGAAGAGGGGATTAAAAAGCACTTCTGCTTTGCCATCAGGGGATATTGAAACAGCTTCTCCTGCGCCCTCACTTTACATCAAAGCCATTTCTGGGTGCTGTGGTAAAGGAAAAAGGTCTGGACCGGGTCCCAGCTGCCCATCCCTGTGGACTCCAAGGCTGGGCACAGCAGAGCCAAGGGCAGGGTCAATGCTGGAGGGGGAGATGGGGCTGGGCTGCAGCCCAGGGAGTTGGACTTGGTTTTAGGGGTGTAAAGTGTGTTTTGCTCAGACCAGGATTTAACCTTTGCTCTCACCTTCCACCAGAGATAAGCTTTCTGGGTTTTTCAGACCTGCTTGGTTAAATCATTAAACAACGGCTGGAGGGAAAGAAGGAGCCCCTCAAATTGTGTCTTGTCCTTTGGTGGCTCACTTGTTCTCTAAGAACACCTTCAGACGTGGTTGGGATGTGCTCCTCTCCGTGCCACAGCAGTATTCCACGCTGCAGAGTCCTGGCAGTGGCTGATTTCAGAACCCTTTAGGTTGGAAAAGCCCTCTGAGGCAATTGAGTCCAGCCATTAACCAGCACTGCCAAGATACTCAAGGAGGAGCCACCTTGTTTCCAGAAATGCCGATTTATTTCCCTGCAGGGAGCCAGCAGCTTTAACCCAGTCCTGTTGCTCTGCCCTCTGTAGGTGGATCAAGTTTGAGGAGAAGGTAGAACAAGGTGGGGAGCGATGGAGCAAACCGCACGTGGCCACCTTGTCCCTGCACAGCTTGTTCGAGCTGAGGACGTGTATAGAGAAGGGCTCCATAATGCTGGACATGGAGGCCTCTTCCCTGCCACAGGTGGTGGGTAAGTACACCTGCCTTGGCTCTTTCCCTCAGCCCTTCCCCACCGGTTGTTTTAACCCTGATGCGGTTTTACGGATGGTTTTAATGTAAAAGCGCTGCTTTTTCAGTAAAAGGGGGAAAGAAAGAATCCTCCGAGGAATGAGAGGGAAAACTAGAAAGCCCTTGGCTGTGTTTGGGATGGGGCACTCTCCCCCAGCAAGGGAGAGGGAAGAGCAGCCCCAGCACCAGCCGGAGCTCCACCCCACGGAATTGAAGGGCAGGCTTTTTGCAGTCCAAATAGCTGTGGCCTGGGGTGACACTCGGTGACATTGCTGAGAGCCAGATCATGCTCCCCATGGCATGTGGAGAACTCACGGAAAATAAACTTTCAAAGTGAGCCATCCAGTGGAGGGACATTTAACCAAAATGCTGAGTTTAAAAGCCATTATCTGAGGAGGTATAGAAAAGCTAAATTAAATACCTGCCCCCCCCTCCCAAAACAAACAAACAAACAAACCCTCAATGCTTTAGATTATCTTCTCAGGAAGGAAGGTCAAAATTATCCTGGTATAGAATTGTCAAACACAAGGAGTTGCACTGGTTTGTAAGACTTGAAATTACAAAAGCTGCCTCTGGTGTTAAATGCAGAGTTTTCAGCTTAGTTTTGTAAGGGCTTGTGGTGGCGTTTATCTGCCTTTGCTTTTGTGTCTGTGTATCCAAATGCACAGCTTTGCAAAGTTTAACAAAATAACCCTCCCAAAACCTCTGAACTTTTAGGCTGAAGCTGAATCTGCTTCAGAAGCAGCAGCTGATGTCCGTGGTCTGGAACCTTAAACCCTCAAACATTAGATTTCCTTTTGAAGTCCCTTCGAGATGTCACCTTCAATCTCCTACTTCAATTTCCAAATTAAATCTAATTCCTGGGAGATTAAATTACACATCAGTGACTGCTGTTGCTGTGACACTGTGACACTGTCCTGAGCAGGGTATTTTTGCTGGTCCAGACCCTTAATCAGACAGGTAGGGATGTCCAGGACTGGATTTCCAGGATGATTTAATCACAATCACTTGGCTGGTTTCTGGTAGTGACACGCAGGAAAGGAAAACTCCAAAGAAAAGCTCTCTTTGTTGTTTGTGTTATGGCAAGGAGAGGGAAGGGAAGATTGCCAGATAGAGAAGGATAAACCTAATGAAGGTTCTGAAGAAAGTATTCCAAAAATCACTAACCAAAGCCATGAACAAGAAAAGCTTGTAGAAAAATGACACTTTACAAAGATCAACCTTTTCCTGAGCATTTTGTGTAAAGGTACCTACGTGCATGTACCCACCCTTGTCCTAATTTGGGAGGAACAACTAGTCTCTTCCCTAGGCATTTGGAGAGGCACTAATTCTTGGGCAGCACACAGAGGATGACTTTCTGACTCACTGAGTTAGCAAATGTGATGTGCGTCCTGCCTCCCCCCTTCCCATAACTTTTATTATTAGCACAAATAAAAGTTACCAGCAGACAAATAAGAGCTGCCACTTGCCCTCGGGGGACAGCGCGTGAATTCAAGTCATCAAGGAATGACTTCGTGTGAGATTTAATGCACAGTGGAGATCCTTCATACATCTGGGTGACCTTTTTGCCTTTTTCCTCTGGGATAGGGCAGGAGAAAGGTGGGAGTTGGTGGGAAGTGAGCAGGCTTTGAGGGGGCTGGGAGCCTTTTCTCCTGGTGATTCTGTGAAAGGCGAAGCCACGCAGCTCATCCTGTGGCAATTAGAGCAAGTTCTGCCGGTTGTAGTTGCCATCGCTTCAGTCCTGCAAGTGAATGATTTAATTAGTTGTTCATCTCCAGCATTCTTTCCTGTCCTGAGATTAGGTTTTACTGGGGGCCTGTGAGGTGAACTTGGGCCTTGTTGAATCTGATAGAAGTTTTTCCATGTGATTTTTGGGAGCACAATGGCACTTGCCACAGAATTTTAGCTTCTTCACGAAAATCTAGGCTCAGAGCTGATTCCCCTCCCAAACTAAGAACCACCTTAGCCTGGGCACAGGTGATTTGAAATAGGATTTCAATAGACCTGGTTTTGAGATGGCAAGCAAGGCCCTCAAGAAGAGGGGGTGAAAACAATCCATCCCCCTCTCCCAGCTCTCCCTGCAAGCAGCTGAGTTTTGAGCCCTGTGGTTGATTTTTCCCTCCTCTCCCCCGCCCTTCCTGTGCCTGCCACAGAGATGATCGTTGACAATCAGATCGAGACGGGGCTGCTGAAACCCGAACTGAAGGACAAGGTCACCTACACGCTGCTCAGGAAGCACCGGCACCAGACCAAGAAATCCAACCTGCGCTCGCTGGCTGACATTGGAAAGACCGTCTCCAGTGCAAGTAGGATGTTTTCCAACCCCGATAATGGTAATGCAGAGGCTAAGTGGCTATAGCTTTCCCTGTCACAGCAACCCACCCAACCCAGCCCAGAACTAACTGCGTGGCCCTGACAATGCTTCTCTAACCCCGAGTAGCGTAGCGAGACCCATGCTGATGGGCACATCAGCAGTGGGCTCTGGAGGCTGCTTTGGCCCTGGCACGGTGCTCTAACCACATCTTCACTGGACTGAGAGGGACAGGAGGGCAGGAGGCAGCGGCCGGGGAAGGCAGAGGGCTGCCCTTCCAGCTGCGTGTAGGAGATGATGTAGGAGCAGTGGCAGGAAAGAGGGATTTACAAAAAACTCTGATGGGACCTGGACCTAAAAGGCCTATCAACTGAAACGTTTGGGCAGAGATGACGCTTCCATGCACCTTCCATATCTGTAACAGATGGTGTCCGTGGCACTCTGAATCAAAAGTGAGCTGACAGTAACATCTAGCTTGCATTTTATTACTGTGTAATCATTGTCCAGTGGGGTAAAGCTGATTTCCATCTTGCTTTATTCGTCCTAAAATGGTTTTGTGGTGTGTGTCGTGACTACGTGTCTTTTTGTCTCTGGAAAGGGTGTAATAGGTAGTGCTGTGTTGGTAGTGGTGTCCCTAAATGTGTATGTGTGTGTGTGTGGATGCAGACAGCTACAGAGGCCTGGGCACTGACTGTACTCAGAGATTTGGGGTCTTCTTACTTATGGTAATGAAAAAAGAAGAGTTTTAAGCCTCTCCACTGTCTCCTGTGGCAGCCTGGAAATTGGGCTAAAAGTTGCCACTTTAAAATAGCCAGAAATAAAAGCAAGTGAAGAAATTCTTTTCTTCTTGCTCCACCGAAGGCCTCTGAGCTTGCTGCGTTCTGCTGCTCCAACTCACCCTAACACTTCTCTCTAACCTATTACCACACTTCATTAATATTTCCTACTTTGGACCATCCTTTCCTTTTGCAACAGGAGTGTATGTGCCTGTGGAGAATATTTATTGCTCTTGATGATGCCTCTTGCCATGTACAAGTGCCTTGATAACACAGTGATTGAGCCAATAACCTGACCCTGCAGTAACGTGAACCGAGGGAATGTTCTAGGTGAATATCCCTGCAGGAGGGACTGGGTTATGGGAAATGCTGCAAGGACATTCTGGCTCTGGGGAAGGGCTCAGCATGGCCAGATGAGTCCTCGTGTTTTCACTCAGCCCTTGCTCATTTTTCATGTCTACAGGTACCCTTTATTTGGATTTTAGGTGATTTCAATTTCTGTCATTTCTTGTCCTTGTTTGAAAGGGCTTTGCAGGTCCTGGCTCAAGCTGGACTAATCTCCAGGAATTCTATCCTGGCTCTGGCCTTCAACCACTCCTTTCATGTTGTTCTGCCTCTGTTCCCCCACCTGGGATGTTTATATATAACACATTATATTCCATGCTTTGAGACTTTAGGAGGGCGAGAGTGACATACAGAGGGAAATACCTCATGAATAGTTGTTACTGTTATTTATTATTTACACTTCAATGAAAAAGTAACTCCAGAAGGTGTTTGATCAAGTTCTGCCTCAGATTCAATGAGTGCCTCTCGTGTCCTTTAGACAGATAAAAATTTAATGAGGCCAACAGGAGTGCAGCTGTCTCTCACCATGGCTAATCACCATAATGCACATGCCTCCAGCCCTAAGCGCTCCTAAATTTCCCTCGAGTTCTTTTCCAGGCAGGTGTTTGCTTTCACTTCAGTGTCAGTGAAACTTCCATCCAATATTGATGCTGCCTCTGGGTCTGTGGGACCCTCTGAGCATCCTCCTCCCCAGGTGCAACAGCTTGATGGGCTGGTGTAGCTGCTGCCCTGCTCAGCTGGCTCAGCAGGGACACCTTCTGCCAGACCAGGCTGCTCCAAGCCTGTCCAACCTGGCCTTGGACACTTCCAGGGATGGGATCTATTTGTTAGATCTGAAATCTGGGAATATCCCCTGGGCCACGGCTCTCAAAGATCCCGAGGTGCCCGTACCTCACTTAGTTCACAGCACTTAAAGAACTGAAGTCTCAGGGGCTCCAAAATATTCTTTTTTACACATGTTGAATGTTCATGTTGATGGAACTCCTGCAGGGATTTTTGACAGGGGTGTGTGTCTGGTTTTGTTGAGTGGCTTTGTACCGGTTGTTTGTGTCCCTTCCTGGCACAGCCTTTGTCCTGGAGCCCTGGAGCAGTAGGTAACATGTGAGCTGCAGCTCTCCAGCTGGCACACCTTGGGCTTTGCCGTGGTATAACATGGGCTGTGTGGTCGCCGTCCCTTCTGCAGGTGCCTGAGGTCTGCCTGATCAATATTTACCAGCCTTCTGTGATGACACTTGCTACCCATTTTTGACATTTTTCTCTCAGAGCCTCGTGCCTGCCAGCATTTTGCGTGATTTAACACCTGTGGGAGCCTTTGGCAAGCGAGAAAACGATCGACTCCTACTAAACCCAAGCTGGCAGAGGCTGTAGAAAACTGTGATGTGTTTAAGTGTGTGTGTTTAACCACCATAAATAATGGCACGGTCCCATCGCTGCGTGGGTGCTGCCTGTGCTGCCCAAACTCCTCCTGAGCCGTGTTAGTTCACACTGTGCTGACAGCGGGGTTTGGAAACAGTTGACTTGAAATAACAGGCTATCTGCACAGTGCTGGCTGATGCACAGAGAGGAGGGTACCTGGCTACAGGTGAAAACTTCTCTGAAGTCTTTTTTCTGTGTATTCCACTGGACCAGATTGCTCCAAGCCCTGTCCAACTTGACCTTGGACACTTCCAGGGATGGGGCAGCCACAGCTCCTCTGGGTTCAGGTTTAGTCAGTTCAGCGTTGTTTTTTCACATGAACTGCACCCTCAGTCCCTTTAGAGAGTTAACAGTGGCACCAGCTGAATAATATCAGCACAGAGGAGAGGAGGTGAAGTCAGAAGTGAGATGTTTTCCAAGGAACGCTTGGAAAACCTCTACCAGGGTATGTATTGGCGTGACTGGAAGCATTGCAGACTAAGATGGGCATCTCCAAGCCCGGATTGGTGTGCCTGGGTATGTATGCATGGGGTCATGGTGCTTGAAGTTGGCTCCTACAGGGATGTGACCTGCTTTTTATTGCCGAAACCCTCTTGTTACTGATGGTGCTGCATCCTGGGACTGCTCAGCACCACCAGCACTGCTGCAGCTGCTCACTCACTTCCTTGAGATCTGCTGCTGAGATGCCTCAGTTTTAGACACCAGGGATGGAAAGCTGGCTCCGGCCCAGCCAAGATGGAGCTGCGGAGGAGATGTTGGGATCTAGATGAGTGGGCTTTGGTCACCACACTGTGCACGTTCAAACTCTCTCCTTGCCTGGCTGCCCTTCTCCTGCTGCTCCTCCAGCCTTTCTTCCTTGCATAATTTCATTTTCTTTTCTTTTAACTTTTCCCCTTTGCTCTCTTCCTGCTCTTTGCTGCTGCTCCTGTCTCCTGCTTGCCGGGCACAAGCACGCAGCCCGCTCGAGAGCTCCGTGCCCTGCCTGGCCACCCGCACCTTGGATGATGAACTGGGAGTGCAGCGCAGCCCCAGCGTGGGATGGCTCAGTAAGTCCTGGGCAGGGCTCAGGGAGGGCTCAGGGCTGGGGGCCAGGAGAGGAAGAGGGAACGTGCCCCAGCCGGGCTCCTAACGCTTGCTGCTGCACTAACAGTGGGAAGGGCAAGGGTGTGTTCCATGGGAATGGGGCTGCTCTGGCTGTTGGTGTTGTCCCCACTGTCCTGTCCACTGCTCTGTTTCACTCTGTTTTCCTTTTTTCTTTCATCTGGAATGAAGCAGGTGGGTCAGACCACACTCCCCTTCCGAGGGGGGTCTAAGCTCCCCGGTGGCATTTTTTTTTTTTTTTTCATTTAGAGAATTATTCTTTGGCACTTAAAAGGGTTTGAATATTTTAATTTCCTTATAAATTAACCTCAAAAATAGGCTGTCGGCCTGATCTCTCAGGGATGAGCTGGACTGTTCTGCCTTTTGTAACATCTGATTTATCTAATTGTGCTTGGCTTCAGCTGTGCCAGTGTTCCTGGACATGGCAGGAACACACAGCAGGTGCAGTGTGGTTCCAGGTGGCTCACAAGAAGGAATATTTTCGGTCTACCCCCATGTTGTAAAGAAAACTCAGCTCTGGGGAATTCAGAGCTTTTTCTTCCCACTCCTTTGGTTTTCCAGTCCTGATGCTGCTTTATTATCGAGTTTATTTGTGCTGGGAGCTGATGAGCTCCAAGAACTTGGACATTTTTTTTAGTGTGAATATCAAGTCAATATTATCTCAAAACATATTTGTTTGTTGTTTGTTTGTGTTTTGGTTTGGACTTTTTTAATGTAGTTATTCTGCTGGGTCTCTGTGGATTGTCTTCGCCTCCCTGGGGAATTTGGTGTCAGGAATTGGTGACTTTTGTCCTGTCGGTGTGGTGCATGTGTTGTTCTAATCAGTGCATTGCTTAAGGTCCCTGAGTTTAGTTAACGGGCTCACTGGAGCGAGGGAGATGTTTATTAGGGGTTGGTGTGTAGGACCAGGAGCTGCCACTCTCCCTCTCAGTGTGAGCTGTGTACAATGTCTGGGATGCTAAGGATGGCAGGTGCCATCCGCGCAGAAGAGCTGAGGTGAGGGATTTGCACCCTTGGAAGGTCCCAGCCCTGTGGAGGGATGGATTTGTGGTGGGTCCTGGGTGACCCAGCACCATCAGTGTCAGCAGCCTAGTGCTGCTTTGCTTTTTCTCCCACAGGCAGGAGTTATGGAAGGTCATTGGACTCTTTTGCTGTCCTGGGAGTCACAGGAACGTTGTGAGTCGGAGATGACGGAGCGTTAGCATCTTAAATCTCCCATGTGCCACGTCAAGTGACAGAAAGCAGCCTGTCAGGGTCTGGAATTGCCCCCATCAGCCTCCCAAGGAAAGGTGTTGCTGTAGCCTGAGCCTCTGTGTTCTGACCAGATCCAAATGGGTGCTTTACCTTGTGTTGCCCTTGTTCCTGCAGGCAGCCCAGCCATGGCTCACCGAAACCTGACTTCCACCAGCCTGAACGACATCTCAGACAAGCCTGAGAAGGACCAGGTAAGCTGCAGGTCCAGCCTTCACTTGAGGATGTGTGTGGAGAGGAGCTGGGTGTTGGGGAAAGGGTTCTCTGTACCTTAGCACTGACAAAGAAGAGGGTGAACAAGCATTTTTGAGTCCTCTGACTGGATCCTCCGCTTTTTAAGTACCAGCCCTTGAAAACAGCAGACCTCTTACGAGGTCTAAAGGAAGTGACACCACATACACTGCATCTTGCTGATGCCCATGAGAAAGGAGGGAAAATACACAGGGACTGATGGAGTTCTGATCCTCTTCCTGCTGAAGGGTTACAAGGGTCCTGCAGCAGCCCAGGATGAGTGTTCACAGGGACTATGGGACAGGGCAGGAGCACACAGGGGGCACATGTCCCTGCTGCAGCCGCTGGTGGAACAGGCAAGGTGGCTGTGCTGACAGGTAGCATGGAAGAGCAGCTCCAAAGCGGAGTAATGAAATTAAAATAGGCCTTTAGTACCGAGTCTCCATGGATCTGACCCCTTTCTTAGACTAGGGTAATGTTTGTGGTACGGCATACGGGCTGTCTTTGTTTGTGCTTCCTTCCTTCCCGAAGGCTGCCGGCTCTGAGGGGTAAGAGTGAGTTTATTCCAACTCTTAGAAAACTGGTGGCTGAATGAGGTCTCTGTGCGAGTTTCAAAAACCTTTTGTCTGGGTTCAGAAAGTGGGTTATTCTCAAAGCCCGGCTGTTTCTTTCGGAGAATCTCTTTTTTTTTTGGCCTGTGGCTTTCAGCATTCCCTAGTCCCATGGTGATTCTGAATGCAAATGAGAGCCCCTTTGGAAAATTATTTGGGTAACACAGCATTGCCGGCCAGTTGAGGATGACTCCAGTCCTTCAATGAGGGCTGGTCACAACCTTCTGTAGGTACAGCTTTAAAGGGACACAGCAATATAATCAAAGCAGAAAAGTGAGTTCAGAGTAATTGAGTATTTTGAAAATAAATAGATATTCACATAAATAAATATACTTTCATGGAAAGAGAAGGGGAGCAGCATGTTTTGCACTGACCTCAGTTGTAGCCTCGTCTTTACTGGCTGGGTTTCCAAAATACCTGTTTCCTTTAGTTCACACAACCACACCTGGGGAAAAAGGAAGATTGTAAAACAACTCTTTGTTGTTGGACAAACTGCTGGTTTATATTTTTAATCGCATTATGACTGGGGTATTATAGCTAGACCAGCCCAAAGCTGGGGCTGAACATTGCAGCAACTTCACAGCTCTCAGCAGTGCAGACAGGCCCCCATTGCCCCTTCTGCTCCAGTGTCTCTAGACATACAGGTAATGGACTTTTTGCGGAGAACTGGGTATAAAAATAGATGTTTTGGTAGCACTAATAGGGAAATCTGTTAATAAATCCAGTTTGGGAGCGCGCTCCAAAGTTTATAACTTCCAATGTAGATAATGCCTGGCTGTTGGTAGTGAGAACCATTACTTGATAAGTGTCGAGTTCCAAAAAGCCTTTCAGTTAATTAGCCCATGTCCTGCTGATGAACTTTGCACAGTGGGAGCCGTGTCCCCTACGCCTTGAGAAATCACCCTAGAGCTCGGTTTTTGTAGCTGACTGACTCAGACTCCTACCTTGATAAAGTTTGTGGCATTGTGGTGATGCCTGGCAACTCCCTTGAGCAGAACTCAGCGTGCCATATGGGGGGGGGCACAGCAATAATCCATCGTGTTACCACAACAGGAGCTGGAAAGGGAACAGGTTTTCTTGCTTTGGCAGCAGAGTGACTGGCTTTTGTTATTTGGGCATCCCATCTGGGAACTGGACAGTTAGTGAGGTCATACAGGGGGGTGGGAGTCTACTGGAGACACACGATATTCCAATTTTTATTTATTCATGTGTGTAAGAATTGCAGCAGGTGAGGTCAGTTTACAAGAGTTGCTTGGAGCAGGACTGCCTTCCTACATCCTGGTTTTGCACAGATAGAGGATTGTGTCCCCATGCTTTAAAGGAAGAAAGGCTTTGAGCAAGCTTCTCTGCACCTTCAGTAACTTTCCTGACTTCCTACATCCTTAATTTTCAGTTCAGTTTTGCAACCTTTAATGCTATTCGGAATGGTGCAATGAACAATATAGGTATCTTGTAGCCAGAATACTCCTTTAATCTGTGGCTTCCCTGCTCCTTTCCTCTGGATACGTTGCAAGGTTCAGGTTTCACATGGGCTTGTGCCCCTTGGACAGTTGCCTGTCAGAGATCTGATCTGCCAGAGAATCCTCCCGGACTCATCCCTCCTGCTGCCCTCCCAACGGTGCCAGACAGCTCTGCCTGGCTCAGGGGTGTTATTTATGAATACTGAATCAGGTAGTTTGCATCAGCCGGCTCTCTCTGCCATGGGAATGACGGCTTGATCCTTTGGGATTGCAAAGAGGCTGGCTCAGCATCCCCAGCGTCCTGCAGGAGCCGGCAGGGCCCTGACTCAAACCGCTCCGATGAGAAACAGGCTTCAGTAATGGCCCACGGATTTGGGGGTTGCTGTTTTGTCATGTCTTTGCTTTGGGCTTGTTTATAAGGATAATTAGGGAAGAGGAGCTGTATTCCCTTTCATTGTGTTTGTGTTGGCAGAGCACTGCTCCCGTGGTCACAGCACGGAGAAGGGATTTGCCTCCATTTGTTTTATTTTAGGAAATGTTGGCTGCAGGTAATGCCCTGGGCGTTCGCAGCTGGAGAGACAAGTAGTGGCACTGTGGGACAATTTATTCCTCTCTTCTGTTTTCCAATTAATACATGAGCATCTAGGCTTCTTGCTCTCTCCTGGCCTCCCAGCTCTCTGCTGCCAGATACATCAGTGGTGTCAGTGCAGTGTCCATAAAACCAGGACTTCTCACGGCAGTAGAATTCCTGTGGCTCTTGAAGGTCCAACTCTTGGATCAAGTTTTTTTTTTTAACCCTGTATTCATAGAATCCCAGGCTGGTTTGAGTTGGAAGGGGCCTTAAAGCTCATCTTGTTCTGCAACCCTTCCGTGGGCAGGGACACATTCCATTATCCCAGGTTTCCCCAGGCCCCATCCAGCTTGGCCTTGGACCCTTCCAAGGATGGGGCAGCCACAGCTCAGTAATTCAAAAGCATTTAAAGCTATTTTTTTCAGCTTATGTGTGAAGCAAAGGGGTTGAAAGGAGTCCTCTGGTGCCATGGTGCCAGCAGATCATAGGAGGCTGGGGAAGTTCCTACTGCTGTTCCCACTCTGCTCCCTCCTCCCGTGAGAAATCCTTTGGCCGTGCTCTATCAGAATGTCCTTGGCAGCTCCCAGTGGCTGAACCACCGGGACTCCTCCGGTGCTCACCATGTAAAATGAAGGAACATGAAAGAAAATCTGTTTTCCCAGGGACCTGGTATTCCCCAGCTGATGCAACAGCATATAGAAAGGGAATGTATGTTGATATAAGGGGAGTTTCCTGCCATGGTGTTTATCTCTGCTTCCCAAGGGCTTGGAAGTGGGACAAACCTGGCTCTGAATGAATATGGTCAGTGAGAGGGAGGCACAAAACCCTCCCTATTTGTTGTGGTGTGGGCACTGTGTATTCAAACCAGTGTTTCCATATCAACAGGGGATCCATGCCAAAGCCAGCACTGCAGTTAAAAAAGAAATTGGCCTTGTTGAGAGAAACCCTCCTGCCTTTCCCGGGGACCAGTGGGTGGGGAGGGCACTGGCAGCATCCCGCTCTTGGGAATGCAGTCCAGTGATTGATGGTGGGAGCCATTCGCTGCTTTTCCTGTTTGAACATCTCCTCACCTTCACAGTAGCAAACAGACATTCCCAATTTTGAGTTCTGTCAGCCTGGGTGACCTACTCTCACTCCATGGAGCTCCAATGGAAATTATTTTTTTCCTGTATAGATCACTGCCACCTTTCTGGAGAGAAGGAAGAGTTTCTGGGCTGTTTAGTTAACTGGAATTTCCTTTCCTTTGGCCATTTTTCTTGATGCAGAGAGCAGTTTTGCTTGCCTGGTTTCTCCCCTTATCCACAGTGCACTGCTGAAGTATCCGTGGGTGATGGAGCAACCTGCAAGGTGCCCCTTGAGGCAGGTGTTCATGGAATAAGTTATGGGAAAGACTGTAAACTATATGTGAGCAGATACAAAAAGCAGAGAGACAGAGCAGGTTCAAATTCCTGGGGGAATTAACCTTCCTTAAGTGCTACTTAGGAGTGTGTACTTAGGAGCTGCTTTCATTTCCGATCGATCCGAAGTGATGATGATTGGAGTGTACATTTAAGGAAATTGGGATTTGCAGGTTGCTGTGACTTTTTGCAAGTACAGTGCTGGGGACCTGTGGCCTTCAACATTAGTGGTCAGGTTGGAAGGATGCTCAATTTGGCAGAGTGCAGGGGAAAGTGAAGCTCCCTCCCTGCTCCCGGGTGCTGCGGAGGACTTAAATCTTTCCAAAGCTGCTCCGGAGAACAGTTCGGAATGGGTTTTAAGTGCTGACTGCACCCTTCCCATCACCTGTCTGATAAATGATTTAAGAAAGTGGTGAGTGGTGCTGCAAAACTCATTTGGAGCTAAAAACTCCCACTATAATAGCAGCTCTTTGAAATTAGTCACGGTGGTTTGCTGTGCTGGCCAAGGGGAGACGAAGGGGCCGGAGCCTTTGGCTCTGGGAACTGGGCAGTCACAGGAGTGGAGACTCTGCAGGTTGGTTCTGGCTCAGAAAATCACCTGGGTTTGGGCCATGTGTTCAAACCAGGCCTGGTGTTGCTGAACCATCCTTGTTCAGCATCATGGCCAATCTGTTTAGCCAAGCTGAATGTTTGTTGTGGATTTGCCACCTTCCCATTGTTTTTTTAATCACCACTATCCTCCCAAACACTGTCTATGGAAAAACTGGTAGCACTTTTCCAGGCTTTCTCCACAGAGCTTCTTGATGCTTATTTGCTATTTCCTCTGGTGGTGATCCTGACTGAAGCACACAGGGTTAAGATGGTTCCAGCAGTTTCTTCCTGCTTAATCAATTGATGCCTTTTCCTGAAACCTTTTCCATTTTTGTCCTTCCTTGAGTTGCCTGGCACAACTCATTAGGGATTCATGGCCCAGTTCACTCCCCCCCACTGCCCCTGCCCCACTGGTGTTCCTGGCAGTACATCCTCCCTCTCCATTCACCCTTCGCCAGGCACACACAGAGCATCTCCAGAGATCACCCAGGGAGAGGGGGCGGAGGGGAACCAGCTAAGGGCAGGGTTTTCAGAAACCTCCAACTCTAAATTAGTTCTGCTGCTTCCCAAGTTCAGACAAAGGCGTCTCACTGGGGCTGATTTTTAGAACTCGGCGGCTGCTGCCGCGGTGTTTTCCCATTCCCTGTGGATGACATTTCTCCAGAGCTGGAATTAGCTCACCTCTGTCAGCCTGAGGATGTGCGTTGCAGAGTGCACGCACTTAGAGTACAGAGGTGCAGAGGTGAGAAGAACATGCCTAACGCCACTCAGTTTTCTTTTCCTTCCTCTTTCACTGCCACAGCTGAAGAATAAATTCATGAAGAAGTTGCCCCGTGACGCCGAGGCCTCCAACGTGCTGGTGGGGGAGGTGGATTTCCTGGAGAGCCCCTTCATCGCCTTCGTGCGGCTGCAGCAGGCCGTCATGCTGGGAGCGCTCACCGAGGTCCCCGTGCCCACCCGGTAAGGGAACCACCCCCCAGGGACCTGCCTCTTAAAGTAAAAAACCTCTCACAACAGAAACACCAGGCCCGGAGGAGGTGCTTTCCATCCTGTGACATGGATGATGGTCAGGAGTGGTGGCGTAAAGCGACAAAACACGCTGATGCTGCTTCGTAATTTTCAGGTCCTGAGTTTGGTTATAAGTAAAACATTACAGAAACTTAGCAGCTCAATAGTAAAGGGCACTATCAGTGTCACATTTAACACCTGGACCTTTCTTTCTACCCCTTCTGTGCAGATCCCAGATTCCCCCTGCACATTTTTGCTGTACGTATTGCTCCTCTTCAGCTCAGATCAGACGAAGGATTCAATTCTGTCCCCGCTGGGGCAAAAAAATATTCAGATAATCTGGGACATACAATTCTACTGAGGCTGGTGGCTTTGTAACGCATAATGGTTGAGGGGAAAATGCCAGATAAATATTTTATTTATTGTGACTCGTGTTGCAAGTTGATCTGAGTCTCGCAAACGGCAATGTGTCTTGTGTTCTTAAATATTTGAAGTCACTGCTTGAATATGTCAGGCTGTCTGAGCTGCCCTGTGTGAACTCATAGTAATATCACAGCCCTTGCACGGAATGGAAGTTAAGTGGCTCTTGGAATCTGCGCCTTGTTTCTGTGTACCAAACAAAGGGAAAAGAGGATCTGGCTTTGCCCTTTAATTGTAGCAGCAGTGTTTGTATTTCTTGGATTTTCACGAAGTGGTTTCTTACAGCCACGTCAACAACTGTTTGCACACGCTGGGTATTCAGGTAGGAGTGTGGGGACACAAAAGAGGCTTCATTTTGTAGCAAGTCACTCATTCCTCAGCATTCCTGGGCTCTGTGTGCTTCACTATTTGAGCTCCCAAGTCCAGTCCCACTGGGTCTATTTTTTAAACACGCCTCCGAGTGCTTTTCCACAGATGTAAAATTAGATATTGTTTGCTGTTGTGGTGGGAGCTGGGAAGTTGGATCCAGGATTGCTGGGCAGCCTCATGACTCAATAGCATTAATCAAGGCAATATGTCCTTCCATGCCAGCATTTTTCCCAGGAAATAGTATTATCCATTTGCTGTCCTCCAAAGCAAATGCTGGCCCTAATCAAAGCAGGGAGGCTCATTAGATGGCTTTCATGAGTGATGAAGAGCCATTTGCAATGGCTGCATCCTCCGAAATTCAATCAAGGAAATCCCCTCAGGGCCCGAGGAGCTGTGATGGAGCATCTCCTCCCGTGCCCCGGTTCCTGCTGTGAACCTGCACTTAAAGCCCGCAGACTCCACAGGATGCTCGAACTGGAGCCTCTGACATGCCCACCCCTCCCTCCCATGGGGCTTCTCCTCTTATCTTGTTAAATTATCGATTTCCTGCTAAAGTTGTGGACACCGAACCATCCAAGCTGGGCACTTTTTTTCTTCATGCTTTCTTGCAAAGCATTTTAAGTATTTCCTTTACTTAAAAGCAAATTTTTACTTAAAATTGAGACCAGGAAGATCTCACAAACTTCCCCGAAAAGTTATCTCCACCAGGTATTTTCATACAACCCTAGTAATAAAAACCAGGGATAGGCAACTGGAATTGAGATATCCCAGCCTTTCCTGTGTTTTTTTTTTTTTTACTGGTCAGATTGATGAAAACCTTTTAAAACCTTTTTGGTTTTCTCATGTTGGATTTAATCCCACAGCAGTCCTGTGTTCAAGGCTGCTGGTTAATGGAATGGTGATGGGGAAAACGAAGGGGAATGAGCAAAGAGGAGATGATTTATGGAGATAAGCTGCACAGACTTGCACAGTCTGGTGTGCAGTGCTGGGAAGGGCCTGTATCTGCAGGTCTCAGGTGAAGTGAAGTAACTTGCCCAAAGGTCACTTAGGAAGCGTGTGGCAGATCCAGCATCAGGTTCTATTCCCAGGCCTCTTGACTGAAGCTTTTCACTGCAAAAGCATCTTTTCTGTAGGAATTGTCTGAGATTCCTTTGATCAGGTGCCTTTAACCCTTGTGGAGTTGCTGCTCTTGCTGCAGGCTGGAGGCATGGATGAGCAGGCTGGACTCAGATCTTGATTTAGTTGCTCTTCCTCTTTTTTTTCTTGTTTTGGGGACAAGGACTAGGGGATGGGACACAGGATGACCCTGTCTCCGCAAGGTTACTGGGCTCATACATCCTGTTGATGAATTAGGACAAAGAATTAGGAAAATGCCACATACTGCTTGTTTTCCAAGAGTGTTTGAGTAGTGCAGGAGCATTCAGGTGCTGCTGCTCTGTGCTGGAAGAGATCCAGCCGGTGGAATTATTGCAGAAGACGGTTATGAAAAGTGCCTGGTTCCCCTGGAACACCGGGAGAATGCCAAGCAGCAACTCCTGAAGTTATGAACTCCTTTTTTAAAATTCATGTATTTGGCTAAGTTGCATCCTGGAGTTTGGAAAGAGTTGGCTGAGGAACAGTTTGTCTTGAATGTTGTTTTATAATAACTGGTGAGACAGGGAAGGTTCCAGGAGGTGGGAGGAGAGCAGGGGACATAACCTGGGCGTGTGTGGCTTACTCACCTCCATGTGAACCTCAAGTAAAACACTTGAACGCCTTGTGAAGAACTCAAGTAAGAAGTGTTATGTAGTAATGCCAATCAATATGTATTTATGGATCCTGTCCTATCACTTGCTGCCTTTTTTTTTTTTATAGGACTCTAAATTTTTTAAGTAGAAAGTCTACTTGTTTGGATATAATACTCCTTATAAATCATTTGACTTAGTACCTCACAGTATTTTGCTTTAGGAAACTAAAATAATCCTTAATCCAGTGCTTGCAATGGGAGAGGTACTTCTGGTGAGGTCATTTCATCTGTAATGGTTGCACTGACAAAGGTTTCATATCATGGTGTTTTTCCAGCTCATCAGCAGTGAATTGGATGTAGTTGCTGTGCAAAGAGATCATGTAAGATATTAAGTGTCCAAGGCCAGGTTGGATGGGGCTTGGAGCAACCTGGACTAGTGGAAGGTGTCAGGGGTTGGAACTAGATGGCATTTAGGTGATAGAGAAATAGAAACTTCACTCACAGAATCCCAGAATGCCCAAATAAGGAGCAATATCATCTTAGAGAAGTCCTAGAGAATTAGAGAAGGGATGTAACTCAGACAAACAGGATGTAAACTAAGCTCTGTGTACCCAAACAAGATAAAGAACAAAGGTTACAGTTTTTGGTGAAGCACAGTGATGCTGAGCCTGCTTGAGAACTGAGGTCCACATGACAAAGAAGACCCGGAAGGACCAGCAAAGGACTTCCAATAGGGATGTGACTGTGTAAAGCAAACTGCATTAAGAAAGCAGGAATATCTAATGAATATGTTAACAGTATGTGTAATGAAGAGCCCTGGCAATCTGTCATTTGGCGTGTTCAGTTAGAGGAGCTGTTCTCCAAACGTCCAGCATTGAATAAAGAATGCCTTTTTTAACACCCACGAACTGGTGTTTAGAAGTTTGTTTCTGCTGCTTTTCAGTATCATAGGGTCATTTCCAGCCCAGACTGTTCTGTGGTTCTGTGAAACAATTCCCTGTGCAGGTGGACAGGCTTTCTGTGTTGCACAGGACATGATGGGCCGCAGGGTGTAACCTCTGCTCCGGAGGTAACTGGAGGCTGCTGGCAGCCTCTGCATCCCTAACAAGAACCACAGCTTTTTGAAGCCATGTTTCTGTCTGTTGTTGTATAGATAATAACCAATTTGTTTTGCCATCCTAAATGGGAACAATCTCTTGTTTTTTTCAGATTTCTCTTCATTCTGCTGGGACCGAAGGGCAAAGCAAAGTCCTACCATGAGATCGGCCGAGCCATCGCCACGCTGATGTCGGATGAGGTGGGTGTCCTGGCATCTCCCGTGGGGAAGGGGTTCTCCCAAGTAATGCTGTCCGTTCCTCCAGTCTGGTTGACATGAATGAGCATTCACATAAAGCTGGAATATCCACATGTCACCTCCTGATTCCATCTGTGGACATAATTATTGCCTCTGGCCCCATGTTTTTGTCAAAGCGTGACTAGAGGAGGTGTTTGTGCACCGTGCGTGTTTTCCTGCTGGAAATCACTCTTGCAAATCAAGTGTGAATTAATTGTTGAATTAATTCTGCCATGCTCTGTGCCTTGTGTCCCATTTCACCATCCCAGCATCCCACAGCCACACTCCAGGTAGTCACTGCAGGACTGGTTCCCCCCAGGACACGCTGCTGTGTGTGGCACTGTATCCTGAGCATGTCTTCTCTCTGATGGTGCTTATACATTTATGCAGGAGCAGCTGGCCATTCCTGGCTCACCACACAGCTCACTGGGGTGGCTGGGCTTTCAGGATTCACTTATGACTCTTTTCCTCCAGTGTCCCTTGAGCTCTGCTCACTGGGGGCTGATTCACATGATCTTTGCTTTTTGGTGTTGTTCTGCTCTTGTACAGTTCCCTTAATTACAGCTCATCTGCTCTCAGCTCTTCTGGTTTCTGTCACTCAACACTCTGGTTTTCATAGCCCTGAAGTCCCCTCCCTCCACCAGCTCCTCTGTCACATGCACTGATCCATCTCCTCTCCACATCATCCAAAAGAATCCCATGAAATTCAGCATCAATGCCCTTTTCCCCCTCTTCTCTCATTTGTTATTCATCAGTAATACCAAACCTTTCACTACAAGTGGTTTATGGTGTTATTTTTTAGTAAATATTGTCATTACTTCTGTGTGACAGAGTTGAAAATGAACCTGGGTTTGATAGACTGAGTAGGCAGCTTTGTAAAAATGTCTTCTCAAACTGAAACTCCTTATGTAGAGGAAATCTCTTTTTTTGGATAAAGAAATAGATGATTGATTTAGTAATATTTTTAAAGGTTAGAAATGTATGTTTTGCTTAAAATTAGAAACATGCCTGCAAGAAAAGAATCTCTGTCTTTATCCAGCCAAAGAAAGGGACTTTTCTGAGGGTCACAGCTCCTCATGCCAAATGTCCTGATACTTCTTCAGAGGTTTTTGAGAAGGAATTAAGTTGGTTTTGTAGAATAAAACTAGGCAGCTGCCTCTGAAGTCTGGGCTATGGAAAATGCAAACCTTTTCCATATGAAATCTCTCTTTTCCTTGCAGGTATTCCATGACATTGCCTATAAAGCCAAGGACAGGCAGGACCTGATTGCGGGCATCGATGAGTTTCTGGATGAAGTCATTGTGCTCCCCCCCGGGGAATGGGATCCAGCCATTAGGATAGAGCCCCCCAAGTCTCTCCCTTCTTCAGATAAGAGGTAATAGCAGGAGACAGTGTCCATGATGAAGGACAGTGGGCATAAGATCTGAAAAGGTGATGGGAAGAGCCGATGCTTTGGTTGCACCAGAGGTATTTATTGAGTGAATGTAGCTGCAGCTGTCTGTCCACGTTTAGAAAATCCTGGAGGTATTTTCAGGTCTTAGTAGCTGGAGGGAGGGTGTTCCTGCAATTCTGTACCTATTAGAGTGATGTAGGCACATGGGAGCATGGCTGTGTTCTGCTTGGTCCTTCTGACACACCACGCTCTTGCCCAGGAAAAACATGTACTCGGGCGGGGAGAACCTGCAGATGAACGGGGACACCCCTCACGACGGCGGGCACGGCGGCGGCGGCCACGGGGACTGCGAGGAGCTGCAGCGCACGGGCAGGTGGGTCAAGTGATTAAAAAAGGGACAGAAAGTGACGTGTGCCTGTCTGCCACCGTGTCAGAGCAGTCCTGGTGCTGGTGGGGAGCTGTGAGCGGGGGAACGAGAGGCTGGACAGAAACGTTTTTAAAGCTGGCAGTGTCAGAGCCATGTGGAGTTTATAAGAGTTAAATGCTGTCTGGTCTGGGATCATACAAAAAGGCATGTCTGCAAGTGAGTTCTCTTGTTCTCCAAGATTATTTGCCATGTGTTTTTACATCCAGTTCTTTTGCTGGTTAACAATTTGAAGCATTTTTCCATGTAGCAGATTGTTTGGCTCGCCCAGCCATGGTGTCTGCCACGTGGAGAAATTTAGGCAGGGATGTAGACCAGAGTTAATCTATTTTATTACATCAACTAATATAGTTGGGGAAAAAAACCCCAACAGACGAGCTTCCTGAACTGCAAACTGTAGTGGTCTGTTTTAGCGGAAGCAAGGCTTGTGTTCCTGAAATTTGTCTCTTTCCAGCTGCATCACATGTTCAAGATATTATCTTGCTTTACAACATTATCTCTGATATTCCTGGACCACCACAGCTGCAGTAAGACTGTGTGTAATGTGGTGATCTCACTCCTTTGAGATAATACCTCATTACTGGCAGTGTCTCTGATGGCTTATCGTGGTGACTTTCACTGTAAAACATTTTTCACGCGTCTCCTCTTGCTTGTCCTTGCAGATTCTGTGGGGGCTTGATCAAAGACATCAAGAGAAAAGCACCATTCTTCGCCAGCGACTTCTACGACGCTTTAAACATCCAGGCCCTCTCAGCCATCCTCTTCATCTACCTGGCCACTGTCACCAACGCCATCACTTTTGGGGGATTGCTTGGGGATGCTACGGAGAACATGCAGGTGAGCAAGAGCTTTCAGAACCAACAAACAGCATTTCATTCTTACAGTCCAGTCAGAGGAGCGTTTGGGCACTGACAGAGCTGGAATTCTGGGTGCAGTAGTGGAGTTGTCCTGTGTTTTCACTGCTTTCTCTGCTGGTTTTGGCTGCCCTTTGACAGATTGTACAGGGGTTACCTGAAATGGTGATTAAAAGCAGGCCAGGAGGTGGAGAAGGTGTTTGCTCCTTCTGTAGAGAGAAGTTCCTCTGATCTGCTCTCAATTGTACTATTTCAGTCCAATTAAGTTTGCTAAGACTGATTCAGACTTTCCATGTCTGAATCCTCTGCCTGACTCCTACAATCCCTGGACTTCTGCCTCTCTGGTGAAAAGAACATCCTAAAATTCATAGGAAAGCGAGTAAGTCAGGAGATGTGACACAGGAGAGAACTGTAAGGTCTTTAGAAAGATGAATTTTGAAGTAGTGGGGGATCCTGAGAACCAGCTGGCATATCCATGAACAGGCTGGATCAGTGGACAAGGCAAGAGTTGGGGCTTCAAAGGATAGCTCAGACTAAAAGAAAAGGATTCTGCATTAAGAGTGCTGCAGGGGCTTCATGTTAGTGGAATAACAGGAAAAAATAGGAGGTTGTATTTAGACAGATTCAGTGCAGCCACATCAAATCTCATAACAATAATTAAGTGACTAAATTACTTACTTAAGCAGGTTTAATTAAGTCAAACATAGAAAGAGAGGGCATATATCTGGAACTCTGCACTTCCCTGTGATGAATTACAGTCTAGAGTAAGATCTATCAGCCTGTGGAGTACCAAACTTCCTTCTCCCCTATGGGACCTATTAGTGAGCAGCCCTGGGCTGTCACTGGGTAGCAGAGCAAAGCTTGTCTGCTCTGACTCCAAATGAGGTGCAGTCTTTAAATTAGGAGGAGGAAGGGGAAATGTTACCTGATTCCAAGTTTAAAATCACTTTATTGCGAGTGGCCAAAAGCCCCTTGCATTACCTTTGTATCCCATGAACATTTATTGTCAAGTAGCAAAAAAAGAAAACCAGTATTTTGGGGGCTGCCACATCACAGCTAATGTGTCTTGTTGGCTGTAGACAGTGATGTGGCTGCTGCTGGGGCAGGCCCTGAGCACAGCCCGTCCCTGCTGCCTGTCCCGGGAGCTGCTCGGGCCGGTGCTTCCTTAACAGCTCACTCCAGAGTTCTGTGTTTCTGTGAAAAGACACTATTCTTAGCTTCAGACACGTGGAAGAATGCAGGGAAAAGAGATTCCAGATGCGCTGGCCACAAGGGCCCTCTCTATGAGTAATGCCAGAGGAGCGGAGGGGATCAGCTGTGTGGATGCCATTCCTCGCTCAGGGGAGCAACCAGCTCATCCTCACAAGTCCCCCAGAGGCAGCCAGCAAATATTACTTTCCTCAGTGTAAACACTAATTCGTGTCTTTCCAAGGAAGAGAGACACAACACTGGACTTAAAGTCTTCACAATCCCCCTGATATGTCAGGAAAACTGCAGCCTCATCCCTGCAGCGTGTCAGGGATGGAAGGAAGGATCTGCATGTGCTGTTAATTAACACGTGTGGCATTAATGAGGCTGCTGGTTCACACAGCTCCAGCCATGCACATGAGGCCGGGCTTAAATCCACCCCTGGTTGTTGGGACCACGTTCCTGGAGAGGGTAATTCTGATGGCTGCACGTCCTATTCAGTAAGAGATGATGCTCTTATTACTCCTTTAAAACTCAGTCAACTGTAAATAGATTAAGAGCAAATGAGGTAAGATCAGCACATTCTGCACGCTCAGCCAGTAATCACATTTTATTGCCATTTATATTTCATCCACATTTTGCATTTTAAAAGTAGATGTTGTCCAGCTACAGCTAGACATGAAAATCCAAGAATGCACCAAGCGTGCTGTTCTATCCTTCTCCAGCCAAGCTGCTTTGCCACGCGTGCCAAAGGTAATTGTAGAGCTCGTTAAGTATGGAATTTATGACTTGCTGGTGACATCTGATGAAGCTGGGTCTTAACACGTGGCTGCTGGGTGAAACAGCCTTGTTTGGTTTGTGTCTCTTTACTGTCAAAGACTTGGAGGATTTGCCACAGGCAGGGACACCTTGCACTAGACCAGGTTGCTCCAAGCCCTGTCCAACCTGCCCTTGGATGTTCCAGGAGTTCTGAAATCCTTTAAGTGGTCCTTGAAAACACTCTTCCCCCCTTGTCAAATATAAAATACAATACGTAGTGCCATTACCCTGTGGAACTCAGATATCCAAGGGGGGTTGATGGTTATCCCGAGTAACTGTGGACTGTGTGGGACCAACACATCTCAGTGTGAGCTGCAGGAGAGGCAGAGGATGCTCTTCCCTTGCAGCCCACGGCCGGTCCCCGACAGAACTGCTCGTTTCGAAAGGGTTCTGCAGCAGGACTGACCCCTGTGCCGTGTGTCCGCAGGGGGTCTTGGAGAGCTTCCTGGGCACGGCCGTCACCGGAGCCATATTTTGCCTTTTGGCTGGTCAGCCCCTCACCATTCTGAGCAGCACAGGGCCCGTCCTGGTCTTTGAGCGACTCCTCTTCAACTTCAGCAAGTGAGTATGTTGGGGGAGAGGGCAGGGGGGGAGGAATGTCCCACACTAATGCAATCCCAGCCAGGGAATGAGCTGCCTGGCCGTGGGGAAGGAGGGGATTTAGCGCACGAAATGAAACATGTCGTTGTTCCCTCTTGAGATCCAGTGCAATCACATCAGGGATTTTCCCGGCACGCATGTCCCAGGGCGCTGCCTGGTGTGTGGCTGCCTGTCTCTGTGGGGCCTCCTGGAAAGAAATCCTTGGCCAGTTCAGTCCTCCATGAGCAATTTGCTCTGGTTACGGTGTGCTGCTCCTCCCAGCCACCGCTTCCCTGTCTGCTCTGGATTTCCCACAGGAGCAAAGAAATCAATCCAGCTCTTCACTAACAAAATCCTGCGGGTCTCAAGGTTACCAAAAATTTGGCCTTAAATCTCTAATCGTTTGAAATAGTCACGATCACTTGCGAAAGGAAAAGTGCCTGTGATAGAAACAGTCCCCAGAATTCCGCAGTGGAGCTTCCCTGTAGTAAAGGCTCTCGGGTTTTTTCCGTTTAACTGGTATGAAGAGGTTCTGCTTCCTCCTCGTTGTTGGTAGCTGACACCCAGAGCCAGAGGGAACCCATTTTATTAGGTATGCTCATTTACCAGTCCCACATCTGCAATACCAGGAGAATACACAGGAATCTGTAAGGGAATCAGTGGTGTCATGGATGATTTTATGCATAGGGCTGCTGATCCTTGGGACTGTGTTTTGCAAGTAGATCATTTTAAGTTACACAGAATACACCCCGAATCCCTTGCAGCCCATGTTCATGGCATTGCAGGCTGTGCAGGACTTGTGTTCCTACACATAGGGAGGGATAGGGACTAGGAAATATGGATGGAAAATTAGATTATTGGGATAATCCAATTATCTGGGAAACTGTAAGCTGCCAAAGGGATGCGAGCTCTGCAGTGGAGCAAGAGGGGGAACGCCTTTCTTTTCTTCCTTTGGCTGGAATAAATGAATAGAGTCAGGAATGGGCATGCTGCACCTGTTGGCATGTGGCAGGCATGGCAAAGCCCAGGTGCAGCACACAGCAGGAGAAAAGCAAGATGGAAAAGCACTTTGTGCTGTTTTGGGAGGGAGAAGGTGGTTATTTTTAACCTGAGGAGGAGGCAGTGGTTATAAAAACCATTGTTCTAACGACCTGCCGGAGCAGAAAGGCAGGAGTTTTCAAAGGGAGCCTTTCTCACAAGGAAATTGGAACCGAGGACTGTGATTTTTCTGTAATGGATTTGTGGTTGTTCTTATTCACAACCTGCTGTTCCCTCCTGGGAGCAAAATTAGAAAGACTTCCCATCTACTGACTCATTTGAAGTGTGATTCTGTGTGTGTGTGTAGAGAGATCCTTAAAAGCACCTTGTGGACCCAGGTACGTGTCTGGCTTTGGGTACTCTGTGGTGCCAGCACGGGGGGGGGGTCAATGCTACAGGACACAGTGCTTTTCCACCTGCTCTATCAGCTTCAGACATTTGAGATTTCTGCAGAAATTTGAGGGGTGAAAGCCAAAATAATATAGTTTCAAAGTCTTTGAAGTTTTGCAGTGGTGTGGAGCCAGGGTGCACCTGGGCTCCTGCCAGCCACCTTCACGTGGACGGCAGCTCCTGCCCCCTCAGGCACTGACTCCGGATATTTCAAAGCTGTCACTGGGGTCTTTTGTTATTATTTTTTTCCCCTTCTCTTTTTCTAAATCACTTTGTTTCTTACTTGCTCCTTACCCTCTTCCAGGTCAGGGCTCCTTGGCTTCCAGGACTGGAGCTGCTGCCCCCAGCAATTCCCACTCCCTTCCCCAGGCCTGGCAGTAACCTCCCTGGTGTGTACTTATCTGCTCCAGTGTCCCTTTGTGGCACTTGTTGACTCCTAAAAGCACACCTTCAGACTCTGTGCCTGCATGGCACTGCAGGCTCAAGCAGCAAACAGGGCCGTCGTTCCCAGGAGGGAACAGTGCAGTCAGCTTCATGGTTCTCCTCAGCCTGCCATTCCTGGCACCAGGGTTTGTCACAGAATCACAGAACATCCCAGCTTGGAAGAGACCCACAAGGATCAGCAAGTCTAACTCACTGCTCCTGGCAGGACTACCTAAAACTATACCATATGACTAAGAGCTTTGTCCAGATGCTCCTTGAACTCTCTCAGGCTTGATACTGTGACTGCTGCCCTGGGGAGCCTGTTCTGGTGCCCAACCCCTCTCTGGGGGCAGAACCTTTTCTTTATGTCCCATCTCAACTTCCCCTGATGCAGCTTCTTTCCACATAACATCTGCTTTGTACTTCCTGATCTTGTCTAACGCGATGTTTTCCTTTCTTGCCGCCCCTGTCTTGTTACAGGGACAATGGCTTTGACTACCTGGAGTTCCGCCTCTGGATCGGCCTCTGGTCAGCCTTCCAGTGTCTCATTCTCGTGGCCACCGACGCCAGCTTCCTCGTCAAGTACTTCACCCGCTTCACTGAAGAAGGGTTTTCCTCCCTGATCAGCTTCATCTTCATTTATGATGCTTTCAAGAAGATGATCAAGCTGGCAGATCATTATCCCATCAACTCCGAGTTCAAGGTGGACTATATCACACATTACTCTTGTGCCTGTAAACCAGTAGATCCAGGTAAGAGAGTGTTTCATTACCTCTCCAGTTTGCAGGTAGCAGGTGGCATTTGCTCTCTTTCTCCTTTGTGCTGCAGCCTGGATAATAGGTAGATTATTCCTTCTTTATCAACTGTCTTTAGATACCCTATCTTAGTTTTTTTTTTGGAAGCTGAGAGGTGAATTTCACTGTATGTCCCAACTGGAATGTCAGGATAGCTGACCTTCCTGGGACTCCTCCTATGAGCAGCATGACCAGTAGAGAAGCTTTCTCTGCACCCTTGTCCCCTTGCATCCCTCTGGCTGTCAGTTCCAAGTGGCATTCCTCTGAGAATTCCATGAAGGGGCAGAAGTGGTGGCCACGTCACTGCCTTGGAGCTCAGGTCGCTCCTGTTTCAAGTGCTGGATTTATTCAAGGCGTTACCCAGACATGGGTGGTTCCCACCTCCTGGTTGCACGGATGAGTGGGAAAGCACAAACAATGCCTCGCTAAGCGGAAGGGAAGTGTATCCACAGGGCAGCCTATCTCCAGAGCGTGGGCTGGCGTGACAGATAGAACCTGTACATATATCTGCGTACACAGCCGGGAACAAAGGGAAGCAAAACCCAAATCCAAACAGAGGGAACGCTGGCTGTACCATTAGGGGCCGCTCCTCGGATGCTACAAAAAATGAGGAGTGAGTAAGAAACTTGGTCTGTGCTCAGGGTAAACTGCAGGTTATCTCAGCACACCTGTCCCACAGGAAAAGCTGCTGGCTGCTCCTCGGGAGGTGGCGGGATCCGGTTCCCTGGGAGCCAGGTGCCTGCCTTATTATTAAACACAGCATCTTGGCGAGCACGTGGATGCTGCTCTGGTGCTGCCCCCATTGGAATGGCAGGGTGGCTTCCTTTTTGGAGCCAGGACGGTGGGAATGGTCAGTGCCAAGTCTCCACTTCACAGTGAAACACCTGTGGCTTTCCAAACAGCAAAGCAAGAAAAATTTATTTACGCAAAACCTCAGTAAACTGTGAGGGCGGAGGTGGCGAGCCTGTTTGCAGCAGGGATTGCATTCCTAAATGAAATTTCAAATCCGTGATTCCTAATGCTGCAAAAGCCAGAGGAAAACTTGTCGCTGCCACAGGGAATGCTGCTCCTCCTTCTTTCAAAGGAATTATCCCCATCCTGTTGATTTCAATTACTTGCCATCTTTTTGTTTCTTTTAATTCAAAAAATGTGTTTGTGCTGGACGCTAAAATGCATTTTGCTTTTCTGGATATCTTGGGGGTTATGCTTGCATTTGAAATTAATCATTAGGAGTATTCTGTGAATATTTAGTTTAATCCAGAAATCATTAGAAAAATATTGGAAAACCATGAAATATTGTATTATCTGTCTGGTTTTCTGTATTTTTTTCTTTTTTTACCATGAACTCCAAAAAAAACCTCAGTTAGGTTTGGATTATGTTTCACTTAACCTTTTCTTTCAGTTTTGTGAGTGACTGATGGTTGAGGCTTTTGAGTCTCTCTGCAACAACACTTGTGACTCACTTTACTAGAGCAAAGAGGTAGCAAACAGCTTGATGAAGTCAAGAAATTACTTAATAATTGGAATTTTCTCTCCTCCCTAGCTGTTTCCTGCATCCTGCTCGCCATTCTCTCACCACCTTTTCTCTGCTCTCTTGCAGTTAATAGCTCGTTCCTTAACAGGACAGCGATGCTGTCAGATGATGAGCTGGTCTATTCCTCCTCTGACATGGTGAGTTCCCTCGGGAGGGCAGGGATCCCGTGGGCTGGGGAGTGTCACCGTGCTCATCCAGTGACGAGCTGTGGATCATGAGAAAGAAGTGGAGCTTGATGGGTCAAATCTGTTTGTGGGGGACATGGGGGAAGGAAGTTGAGACACAGCGTAACAACCCCTTTTAGTCAGACACCAGCAGGAAAATAGTCTCACTCAAATCATTCTATGATTCCTTTTTTTTTTCCTCCAGGGCAACACCACCATCGACTGGGCTGCTCTGACAGCCAAGGAGTGCTTGAAATACGGGGGAAGACTTGAGGGCAACAGCTGTGACTACGTCCCTGACATCACCCTCATGTCTTTCATCCTTTTCTTCGGCACTTACACCTGCTCCATGGCCCTCAAGAAATTCAAGACCAGTCGCTATTTTCCCACCACTGTAAGTATCTCCTTTCACCTGAGCAGTCTTCCCAAGGTCAAAGGTCAGCCTTCCTTTTGGAGTAGCTGTCACACACACAGGGAGAGATGCTCTGCAGGGAAACCAGGTTGGACTGGTTGGGATAAAAACATGGAACTGGTTAACCAAGGTATGCTTGGGATTGCTCCCAGTGGTTCTGGACAGCACAGCTAAGGCACAGAAGAGCCAAGTGGAGCCGTAATCTGTCCTGGGAATGTAGCAGGCATTTTAAAGGCACTGAAGACAACACTTTCAAACTTACAGGCACTTCTCAGGTGCATCTGCTCATTTTGTCCCCTCAGGTGAGGCTCCTGTGCCAGGCGTGCGAGCCAGAGCTTTCCATGTGTGCCAAGCTCATGTTTCTCTCTCAGACTTTCCCCATTTTTGGCATTCTGACACACAGGGATTTATCCTGCATGGATGTTTACTGTTCTACTGCGTTACAATTGAACCTCTCTTAATAAAAAGGAAACAAATTCCATCCAGGCTGGAATGCAGCTCAATTTATCTGTAACCATGTGAACCCAGGAAACCAGGAAGGAACAACAGCTCTGGAAAGCTCACACAGTTCCAGGCAAGCACAGTGGCTCCTTCACAGTTAAAGTTTGGGGTCTGACCGGTGGCAGCTTTAAGTTGTCATATTCAAATGACTTGAGGAGAGCCACAGTCTTAGGGATTTATCTGAGAAGCCTGGTTTGTTTTCCTGTCAGCCTAGGTTGATTTATTACTTGAACAGCAAACAAAGTAATCTCTGCCAGTCTTGCGGAATATCTCATTTGTGGAAGTTTGGGTCTTCCCATCTCCTAAATGGAATTTTGTGACTTTCCATTGTGTTGTTTTCTTGCTCCCATTTAGGCTTTCAGACACCACAATAAAGCACCAAGGCACATGTAGGCACATGGCGCCAGCCATGACAGCGGGCATCTTTGTGGAAGAACAAACACTGAGTTTGTCTTGCCACAAGGTCTCATGTAGACAATAAAGGGTGGGTGAAGTGGTGGTTCGTGGTGCTCACTCCTGTTGTTGTGATACCACCGTCTCTTTCAGGCCCGGAAGCTCATCAGTGACTTTGCCATTATCCTGTCCATTTTGATTTTCTGTGGAATAGATGCCCTGGTTGGTGTGGACACACCAAAACTAATTGTGCCAAGTGAATTCAAGGTATGTCATTGTCAGGCCTGTGGAAGAGAGTTTCACTTTCCCCCCGCCTGCCCTGTATGGAATGACTTGGCTTCAGAATGGGAATGTATTTAGTGCTCTGGAAAGGGCTCAGAGGTTATCCTTTTTGTTAGCATCATTTTGATTGGCTGATTAATGTCCTAAATCCTTCCTCTGTACTTGGAACCTTCCATTTTTAGTGGGAAGGATGAAATTGTCCCAAACCTCATGTGTCTCCCTGTAGTCCCGTTGCTGGAAGTACGCCTGGTTTTGGAATGTCATCACTCCTGTATTGCACCTCTAACAAGAGCTTTCTTTTTCCCTGTCCTTCAAAGCCAACCAGTCCCGAGAGGGGTTGGTTTATCCCACCTTTTGGAGGGAACCCATGGTGGGTGTACCTGGCAGCAGCCATCCCTGCCCTGCTGGTGACCATCCTCATCTTCATGGACCAACAGATCACCGCTGTCATCGTCAACAGGAAGGAGCACAAGCTCAAGGTGGGTGTGCTTTGTGTCTCGGGCACGTGCAGGGGCTTTTCCTCCTACCACTTTTCTCCCTTGTGGACACAAGCCTATTCCCTGTCACTGGCTGCTGTTTTTAAGGAGAAGAAGCTGCTTTGTGGTCGCGGTCAAACTGCACAGCACTGTCAAATACGAGCAATAAGCTGGAGAGATTTGGGACATACCAAGGGCATAGCCCCAGTTGGATGTTATTTAAAGAAGAGCTGACACGAAACAGCCTAGGATGTAGCTATGTTTTTAAAATAAACTTTCCAGACCGGTGCTATGCAATTTTTCGTGCCTGTAGGGTTTTTCTTTTCCCTGCACGGTCAGTTCTGTTGAAAAATATTACATTCCTGTAAAAGAAGACTCTCCCTTCCTGATAATAGAACATGTGATGTGACCTGTGGGAGTAAAGACCCCCTCAGAACACAGGTAATAGTGGATCATTATTCAGATACCTGCATCTGTAACCTTCATCAGTTAACAGGGAGAGCTGTTGGAAATGGGAAGGGAGCTTTTGCTTTAAAAAGAGGAGAATGTTTCAATTCACGTTAGACAAGTAACATGTGATTTAAGGCCATCCTGAGCCTGACCTGGAGAGGAGAGTTGAAGTACCAGTGAGTGGGAAAGGTTTGTTGTGCAGAGTGATGACGGTGCACAGATGCTGCCTCATGATCTAAAAAAAAAACCCTCAGAGCATCCCTGTTTGCCACCTGAGTCTGGGCAGATACCTTTGATCCTGGGCCTCAGCTTCCTCAGGACAGGCTGATTGTTGCCTTGGTCTCAGTTTTAGATCTGTCTCCTGCACCTAACTAAGCAGACTAACTAAGCATTTTGTTAATCACTGGGAGAATACGTTCACTGTTCTTCCCCCATGAAAAAGAGGCCCCTCATCTCTGCTGCTTAAACAGCTTATGAACCACAGAACGTGGTTTTGCTGTCAGCCCTGGGTGTACTTTTTTAGTAACAAAGTTATGAACACTCCAGCAAAGTGCTGTTAATATAAAAAATGTATTCTCTGCTTCCCTTGTTACCTGTGAGCAGGGTATTTTGGGGAATTGGGGCTTCTCAAGTCCCATCCTGTCGCTCTGCACCAAAAAACACCTCCATACATAAAATTTACTGAAAAAAAAAAAAAAAAAAAGAAAAGGTCAGTTTTCTTTCTGCTCATCCCTTGCTAAAGCCTTGGCAGGGTGTCACGAGGTGCCTGTCCCAGTGCCACCAGCCAGCCAAGGTAAGCAGCACACATGTGAGGAGAACAGTGAGGACTATTCAAGAGGAGCTGGGTTGTTTCCCTCCTGGGTCATCCTAGGTCTGGGTCAGGGTTTTCTTCCAATAAAATCAAATTAAACAGGATTAAAAAAAAAAGGCTAATCTGTTTTAAAATAACCAACCTTAGAGGTCTGTCTGGTGTTTTTCTGAAAATCTTTTCCTTTGGTGGCTCTTTTGTTTCTTCACTTCTTCTCTTGGCACTTGTGACAGTTGGATTTCCTGTGTTAGTTCATTAAAGGCTTTAAAAAATAGAAGATCAGGGGTCTTTGAAAAGGAGTCAAGAATGAGGGCAGCTTTCTGCTTTGGATAGGGAATGAACCTTCAGCTGTTCTTGTTGCATTCCATAAGGAATCTAGGATTGGGTGTTGAGGGAGTTGCTTCCAGCACCAGACACCATCTGCAGGGCCCAGACCCATTGAGAAGTCCTGACTAGGAGATCCTGCAGTTGCTCAACAGGAGTTCAGACCTCCTTCTTAGACAGCTGGTGGCACATGTTACCTTTAGGCAGGCACCATATGTCTGTAAGGTGGCTTTCTTCCTTAAGTCATCACCCTGCAAGTTGTTATCCAACAGCTGCTTAAAACTAAAATTAGGCTGTTTTTTAAAAGGGTGGTTTGAGTGTTTAAAGCTCTGTGTGCATTCAAGCATCAATTACAGGGACATGTGATGACTTGGGGCACAACCCGTCTCTCTCCCTATAAAGATATATATATATATATATTTATAAATATTTGTTTTGAAAGCTGGCTATATATTTATTTAGAAAGCTTGCTTACGCTGTTTACAAGATCCAGTGTATATTTGGTGTTTGGCTCTGTTTGCCAAAACAAACTGTAGAAGGAAATGCCACCTGTCCAGTGTGCCATAGGCATTTGCAATAATTCAACTGAAGGTTGTTTGTCTCCCTTTCACAGAAAGGTGCTGGATATCATCTGGATTTGTTCTGGGTGGCCATTCTGATGATAGTCTGCTCCTTCATGGGGCTGCCCTGGTACGTGGCTGCTACCGTCATCTCCATCGCTCACATCGACAGCTTGAAGATGGAGACGGAGACGTCAGCCCCTGGAGAACAGCCCAAGTTTTTGGGAGTGAGGTATGTCCAACCAGAAGGGCCTTAATTACTGTGTTTGCCTGCAAAATCCTTTTGTACAAAGAATTTTGTGCTGCTCTCTCCCTGTTTCCAAAGCCAGCTGTGAGATTCAGCAACACAGGAATCTGGCGATTCCCTGGGCAAACCCCAGGTGTGACTCCTCAGAAGTTTATTTGGGCAGATCAGACGCAGTTTTCCAGTGTTAAAGGAGATAAATTTCCTGCAGATTTCTTTATCCATGGAAATTAGGCATTCCTTAGCAAATCTAATGGTCAGACATGCAAACCTGTCGTGCCTAGAGCAATCAGCTCTACTTAATGGAGCAATTTTTTCTGTGTTTGGTCGCCTTAATTAAGTGGTCTGAAGTGCTTCCGATGGGAGCACTCCTGGAAATCAAGCTGCTTGTTTAGGCAACTAAATAGAAACTTAATGGCCTGACTTGCACTGCTCTGAAATATTAGTAGCCAAGGTATTTTTGGAAGTGGGAAGCCCTATGGGGCACTGCTAAGGGCACCTGTTTGGCACCCTGCGAAGGTCTGAACCGTTTATCCAAGCTACTGGAGTGCTCTGAGCAGGACTCACAGTATGTGACTGATCTCAGGGTGGAGAGCTAATGATTGATTCCCCCTCTAAGTACGTCCGTGTGGGGAATTCAGAGAGGTGGTTAATGGTTTGTAATGTTTAACATGCAAACACACCCCTCCTCACTCAGTAGCAGTGCTGTGTTGACCCCAAACAGAATAAAGAAACTGAGCTGGGGTTTGAAAACAGAGCTGGGCAGGGCTTCGTCAGGATCCAGCCACCTGTCTGATGGTGTAGGCTGAAAAATGTGGCTGCAAAAATGAGGTTTTGAGCTTTATGTTGAGTACTCAGAATATAAACCCAAAGCTATAGTCCTCACCCAGTGATGTTGTTTCAGGGAGCAGAGAGTCACTGGAGTCATTGTTTTCATCCTGACCGGGGTGTCTGTCTTCATGGCTCCCATCCTGAAGGTAAGGGTGGTTTACAGTTCTTTGGAAGCTTAAATCCAAACTTTTTGGAAGGCAAAATCCCCATGGTTGTAGTGTGCTGGAATAGTGACTGAGTTCAGGGCTGGGAGTCTTGGGCGCTGGGATTTTTTTTCATTTTAAGATTATTCTTCCATGTTTGCATAAAGTTAAGTTTCCTTTTCTTTTATGATTCCTTTTGTGCCTTTGCCATGGCTGCATTTTAGGGAAAACAAAGCACGGACAAAGCTCAGGAGTATGGAAAACATGTTTCTGGAGGAAGTAGTGTAATTAAATGGCATTTCTTCATCCTCCTGAATCTTTTTTTTCCTGTGAGTTTAACCAAGGCTCTGGACAGACGTGCTGCTCATGGATCTAGGTAGCTTGCTATTTTCCAAGACCAGAAATAAGTTGGCATGTAGCCACAGAGAAATGCATCCCTAGTGGATCATTAGATTGTAGAAGGGAACTGGAAAACCTGTCCTGTGGAGGACACAGCCTACTCTGGGAATGGTGATGGAAACGGTGCCAAGCACAGACATGCAGTCCAGTGGGAGATGCCAGCTGCAGGAGTCCTTCTCCATGGATCCCGAGGCCGATGGTAGATGCAGAACATGTCAAACCATTGTCACCATTCACTGTAACTCCAGGATGGAGCAGATGGGTGTCTGCAGGAGAGTTTCTGGAGGAGGCAGAGGAGTTTTTGGAAGCCACAGGGGCTGCGAGGCACAGTGAGATGTGAGCCTGAGGGGAGGAGGCAGGCAAGGAGCAGCAATGCTGCCTGTGGAGAGAATGGAGACAGTAGCTTTCCAAAGCCAGTGTGTTTCTCTTCTCCATTTCTAAGGTTGTTTGTACAGCTCGAATTTTGATGTCTTGGTAACAGTTTCCGCCTCTGCACAAACAGGCACTTCCGTGCCCTTAATTTAATGCCTGATCGTGATAATCCTGTTTGTTAGTTCATGTGACCTTTCCCTGCAAGATCCCTCTTCCTCTGTTCCACCAGGGTCTATTATTTCCCCTGTTATTGCTTCAGTCATTAGTTCTTTGCCTGTGCTTCCCCTAAGACAGCGTGTGGGGAAGATCCTCGCAGGAGGACGCCCGAGGATAAATCGGCACGCTCCTGGCCCACGTGCCAGCGGGAAGGACCTGGCAGCATTTCAGGACCTTTAGCAAATTCCAGTGGCAGGGTCCTGCTGGAGGGAGCTGCTCTGCTAAATGCATTGCAGAACATTTCAGTCTTCTCCTGCCAGAGGCGAGTTGAACGCTGACGATCCCAAATTCAATAAACCAGGCAATGCATGGAATAATCCCAGCTTTGTTTTCGGGGGGCTTTGTGGTGATTGTGCTGGTTTTGGATGTCGCTGGTGTTTCTGCTCAGCCGTGGCAGATCTCCACAGAAACATCCTCGGCCCTGCTGAGAGAGTGACAGGCACTTTCCTATAAATACAGTTTTAATCCCCTTGGCCCACAGCAGGTTTGGTCGGAGTGCTGAAGCCAGCAGCCCCATCGCTAGGGAATGCTTTGCCAAGAGAAAGTCTTCCAAAATGACAGCACCACTTGCTGCTCTGCAGGATAATGTACTGAGGTTTCACCTCGGGATGATCTATGGGATTAATCATCGTGGAATGGAGAAATAATATTTGGGCATTTTTCATATTTAAAAAAAAAAAACCCACAGAAATAAATAAAAGGGGAGGAGAGCAGTGAAAATGAACTAGAAAGCTGAACTCTGATTGCTGGAGATGTTGTCTTGTCTTGTCTCATCGCTCAGATCCAGTGAGGGCTTTGAATCCTGTGGTCACCCCACAGCTTTGTGAACCATGCACTGGGTCCCCACCCCACCCACAGTGGTGATGGCAGACCCCCACTGTGGAGAAAACATTTCCCTTTTAGTGGGCATTACCAACATGGCTCATCAGAGGAAGGAAATAAATCCAAGGAAAGGATGAGTTAGCAATCCAGAAGTGTGCAGAAGGTGATAGGGAATGAGACTTGGGAAGGAAGGGTAAAATGTAGGCAGGAACACTTTGAATGGCACGTGGCCAGGTGACTTCGATGCTTATGTGCCCCCTGGGAAATGCTTGCAGGAAATGATGAATAAGGTGGTGGGGAATATGCTAAAATCCTGGATAGCTGCCCTGTTATTTACCTCTTTATCGAGCTCCGTGCAGAGGTTGGAAGGGGAGCGTTCCCAGCACAGGAGTTCTGGGAACAGCGCGCGCCGTGGCTGTGCTGCGGCTGCCGTTCAGTGGCGGCCACCCGGCACTGCATGAGGGCAGTCCCTCGGAGCTCGTTCCGTCCCCCTTGGGCTCCAGTAAATCCCACAAAGGCTGTTATTCAGCTCCTGCCTGTGGTTTGTTCAAGCATCCCCGTTCCTGTCACGCCAGGCTGGCTGCACAGTTCTGCTGTGGGGGACAGAGCCCCATTCCAGGGAGTGTGTGAGGTGTTCCTCGCTCCCACAGGAAGGTGTGCCTGATGGAGGAGTGGGTGGCACTGAGCACTCAGGGGAGCAGAAAGTGCTATTTTGAAAGGATGGATCCTGGCAGTGAAGAAGAGAACTCCCAGTCCTGTATTTGGGATTAGTTAGGGATTAATGTGTGTGAGAGATGGAGCGGGCAGAGTTTGGGTTGGCATGACTGTCGTCACAGAGGTGGGACTCCAGAGAAGAAGCTTTTGCGTGGATTTGCGTGGCTTACTGAGCCGGATGTGGGATCACAGGATTGTTTCAGTTGGAAGCCCTCTAAGATCACCCAGTCCAACCAGCACTGCCAAGCCCACCATTAAACCATGTTCCCAGGTGCCACTCCTACACAGCTTTCATATTCTTCCAGGAATGCTGACTCCAGCACTGCCCTGGACACTCTGTGCCAGGGCTTCACAACCCTTTCCATGAAGAGGTTTTTCCTAATATCCAATCTAAACCTCCCCTGGCACAACGTTTCCTCTTGTCCTGTCACTTGTTACCTGGGAAATACCGCAAACCACAGGATCACCCTGCCTTTTCTCCTTCTCTGCCCTCTGCTTCCAGTCTCACCACAAAGCCAGAGGTGAAAGGCAGTTTGCAGCTCGCTGGAACGTGTTTCCCCACCTCTTCCTTAATTCACTGACTGATTGCCGTCATTCCCTGTGGTTCTTGGCGAGACATCCAAGTCCTGCCCAACTGGGAGGGTGTGATTGCACAAATGTCCTTGTGTCTCTCAAACACAGCAGAAGGATCTATTATTATTATTTATTTGGCTTTGTTTTGCGTTATTATTTACATGGTTTTATTCCTCCGTGTTGTCCACTCAGAGATGCAGTCTGAATTGATCACAGGCTGGGACTGACATCCCACCACATGTTGACAGCTCATTGTGTACAGAGAGGATTGTTCACCTGGTTTCTCCTGCTCTTCCTCCCACAGTTCATTCCCATGCCTGTGCTCTACGGTGTCTTCCTCTACATGGGTGTCGCGTCCCTCAACGGCGTGCAGGTGAGTCCCTCCAGCATCACGGAGAAGGTGGCAGTCCTTAAGCAGCACAGGAGCTCTCCCCCAGCCCTACAGCTTTTCCCTTTCTCTTCACTGCCTCATCTTCCTTCCCAAGAAACCCAGGGAGGGTGGCAGCTGTCACAACCACTGCACAACCTGGGTGTCCTGAGGTGGAGATGGAGGGAGAGTGGCCAAGTCCAGGCACTGTCTTGCCAGGACTTTGTGAAGTCTCAGGTGCTTTGTGAAGACTCAGGTCCATCCAGGAGCAACCTGGTCCAGTGGAGGGTGTCCCTGTCCGTGGCAGGAGTATTGGAACAAGATGGTCCTTAAGATCCCTTCCAACCCAAACCATTCCAGGATTCCACAGGCTTCCTCCCCAGCTCGGGCTTGCTCCCAGGGTGGTTCGGGTCCTCTGCCACAGACTGCAGGCGAACAAGGAGGATGATTTATGGCAGTGGGGTTATTCTGCAATGCTAACGAGCGGGAACATTGTTCTCTGGGGAGGGGAAGCCAAGCCCCTCTCTTTGTCGTTGAGGAAATCTTATGTAAGGAACCGTTCTCATGCCCAGCGCCTGTAGCTGGCCCAAGGAGGCTGGAAGTGGTTTTGTTGCTTTCTGGCACCCTGTTAAATATGGCCTTTCTTTTATTGCTGGGTTGTGCCCTAAGGGGAAGGGACTGCCTGTTCTGTGCACTCCAGGAGAATTCCCTCGGGGGTTCTGCAAAACAGCCCTGGGTTCCATTCACTGGTGCAGGATCCATCTGGTCCTGGCAGTGGGAAGCGAGCCCGCCTCGGGCAGGGGACAACAGGGGGATTGTCCTGTTGGCCCTGGGGCTGGCTCTCCTGGAGGGAATTTCCCCTGCTCCTGGCCCAGGTGGCTGAGGGACTGGGCAGATTGTTTTCCCCCAGCCAAGGGTGTTTTTCACTGCATAAGAAATCCCCATTTTGGTTTAACTCCAAGTCTGTCCGGTCCAGCACAGGGCAAAGGGGCACTGCTGGGAAAGCTGCCCGTCTTCCTCGCTCTTGGGCGAGGTGCTGCTCTGTTCTCTGGCAGTGTGGTGTCTGCCCTCGCCTCTGCTGACCTCTGCTCCTGACTTATTTGGGGAAAAGAAAAGCACTGTTCCTAAGTTTTTCCTAAGTCCTTGGCAGGACCAGGGCAGGGGAGGGCAGCAGAAGTGCCCCAGAGTGTGATGCTGACCCTGCTTCGGGCATTCACCTTGTTTTCTCTCTTTTTTGTGCGTCCTGCGTTTCATTTCACTGTCCCGTTCTTTTCTTTTGCAGTTCATGGATCGTCTAAAGCTGCTCTTGATGCCTCTAAAACACCAGCCTGACTTTATCTACCTGCGCCACGTCCCGCTGCGCAGGGTCCACCTCTTCACCTTCCTGCAGGTGGTGTGCCTGGCCCTCCTCTGGATCCTCAAATCCACTGTGGCTGCTATCATATTCCCTGTCATGGTAGGTGATGCTCTCCATCGCATCTCTGCCTCCCTCCCTCCTCCCTCACATCCCTCCCTTTCACAGCCTGCACCTTCCACAGTCATTCCCTCCCATAAATGGGCAAACCCATCCTCTCTCCCTGCCAAATCCCTGGCTCAGGGCTCTGCTCATGGGACTGGTGTAGCACTGCACGGGGTCAGTGTGGCCGTGCCTGCCTTTACATAAATCCTCTGGAGGAAAACGAGCCTGGAGAGTTAATTTTTTCCCAGAAAGGTGTAGTTAGTGTTGACTGTTCCTGGCTGCCAAGGTTAGATTTGCAGTGTTTTCTCCTTGAGCTGCATGAACCAAGGAGAGGAGCAGTTTTCCTGTTTTAGTCCACACTAATTACAGGATACAAAATGTCTCCCTGGCTTTTAAATAGCACAAATTGACAAAATCAAGAAGGAGACTCAGTGCTAAGAGGAGTGCCAGAGGGAGGGAAAGGATTAGAGGGGAAAAAAGGAATGTCTCTTTTCCTTGAACTGGAGTGAAAAGACCCTAATGTTGTTTCACATCAGATGGTGATTATTCAGATCATTACTGGAGCTACAAACACAGGCACCCTCTGGCTTGGAGATAGCTCAGACTGCTGCAAAGGCAAAGCTTTATGAAACTCCCAAATAAATTTGGTCCCCCCGGGTCACCTGATTTCAGGTTTAGGGACAAGTAAAATCTCAGTTGTGGGGGCAGGCCCTTGCAGTGCTTATTTAAGGGACAGAAGGAGGGAGGGCAGAACTCGTATCAGGGACAAGCTAGTGAAATGAGAAAAGGTGATGCAAGTAAAAAAATCCTCCAAATGTTCCTTCTGGGACACATGCTCCTGTAAAAGCTGTTAAATATCAGCAGTTCCCACTTTTCCAGTTCCATTGCTTTTTCATAACTGTGTTGCACTGCTCTTGGACGCTGAATCTAAGATCTCTTTGCCCATAATAGAATCTGAGTGAACCCTAGGTCTGCCAGACTTTGTTGTAATAGTGTAAATTCAGGGAAGGCACAGCCACAGTTCGATGGAGCTGGATCTGATGGCAAAACCTCACTTATCTGCACTCAGTAACCAAATTACTGTAAGCTCCTAATTTGTGAGGATCCAGACAGTAGCAAACTCCCTGTTTATCTGGAGGAAAGGCATTTCAACACAGCAGTAATTCATGGTGGGATGATCACGGGTGTCTGTGTGGCATCTCTCCACTCCCTGAGTAATTCCTCGCGTCTGTAATCGCGTCTTAAGTTACGCAAGTCAAAGCTCGAGATCTTTTCCTGGGAATTGTTTGTGCTGTTGGTCACCATTGCTTGGCACAAACTTCTCCTTGAAGGCAGCCTGTTGGGAGTGGGTTACAGCTTCCAGCCTGTGCATATACCCCTTGGCAAAGCCTGTGTGGGATCTGATGGAGATGTCAGACCCAGTGTCCACGTAAACATCCATTTGAGACACATCCCTTCCTTTTTTCCCAGTGCCTTCGACTGCAGTCTTGCACAGAACAAGCTTTTCCTCTAGTTCCCTGCAGCCATAATTTGAGTAAACTTTATTCTGCAAACTCTGGGAGCATAGATTGGCCCTTGTCTGATTTCTAAACAGCCCTTGCATCTGGGGAAGCGGTGAGAAATGAGGGCAAGTTTTATTACTCAGACTGCCCTGGAAACCTGTATCTAAAAGTAAAGGAAAACGCTCATTTTTTGTCTCTTCATTATTTATAATACAGTAGTATTGAGTGATTACAGTATTGTTTTGTGTCCACTGTTTATTCTGATGTGAAACAGTCACAGCTCAGCCTCTGCAGTTGACAGAGGTGTTCCCAGGTGTTCACCACTTTATCTGCATGTTCCTTTGCAGCCAGAATTCACGTGGCTTAGAAGCAGCATTGAGGGGAAAGTGTTCCCAATGAAAGGTAAAAAATGTGACTGGGAGTCCCTCTCTGCCTTTGCAGATCCTGGCCCTGGTAGCAGTAAGAAAAGCCATGGACTACCTCTTCTCCCAGCATGACTTAAGCTTTCTTGACGACGTCATTCCAGAAAAGGACAAGAAGAAGAAAGAGGACGAGAAGAAGAAGAAAAAGAAGAAGGGCAGTGTGGACAGTGACAATGATGATGTAAGGAGCTTTCTGCTCTTGTCACATTCCTCCTCCCTAGCTACCTAACCCCGGGCACAGTCCATGCCCCTGCCCAGTGCTCTTTCAGAGCTGACAGCTCAGTCTTTTGCTGCTGCAGCAAACAGACCCCAAAGAAAACTTCTTTCCTACATTGCCTTCCCTTTTCCAACCTGTGGTGGGTGGTTTGTGCATTGCCAGGAAGGAGATCACACTTGCCAAGAGCGTTAGGGACCTGCTGGGATGTCATGCCCCTTGCTAGAATGCCTCTCATCACCCTGCCTCCTCCAGCTACCTCCTCCGCCTTTCTCCCCATCGCTGTCTCTTACGTTTTAGGAGGAGAATGCTTTTCACCAGCACCTTTGGTCCTTCTGGTTTTCTTTTTTTTTTCCTTTTTTTTTTTTTTTCTTTCTCTTTTTTTTTTTTGTTCTTGTAATGGCTCTTTTTAAAAGCACAAAAAACCATGTGACTGCTTTCTGTTGGTAATACTCATCACCTAAATATTTCCTGAGCACCCGTGCCCTCTGCTGTACACTCTGGTCCTACCTCAGGTTGCAGCATGTCCTAAAATAGCGAAAAATGACCCACGTGCCTTTGACTCTTCTGTTTCTCACTGTATATATAAGAAGAAGAAATACAGTCCTGGTGCCTTCAAATGTTACCCTGCTCAGGTCTAACTCAAATCCTTTAAATTTATATTGAAGTGCTAAACACACTCCATGGCGAGTCCAGAGCACGGCATCACCACCTGTGCTCGTGTATCCACCCAGGCTCCGTGAGGAAGGGCTTTTCCTGGGATGTAGGGAGAGGGAAGGCCCCCTGAAGCTGGGAAAGAATCCCATTTTGGCACAGCAGGAAAAACAGCGGGGAGGATTGCCTCTTACTTCAGACAGCAAGCTCCCCTGTCCCATCATTCCTTTAGTTCCCAGGGTGAGGGTTTCCTTCAGCACCTAAATTTGTGCAAAGCAGAATGAGATTAAAAGAGGCCCTGCTGAGTAATCAGCAAAGGTTTAATTCCATCCCCTCCTCTTGACTGGTGTGCAAACAGCAGCTCCAGCCATGGCTCCCCTCTGTCCTGTATGTTTTAAGCTACCTCCTCTCTTCACAGGCTTTTCCTGAATTCCAGGTACAGTAATTAATCTAATGGGTTAGAGATTTTATGCAAAACATTGGTTCTTAACTCTTGTTGGGTTTTTTTCAGCGCTTGCTTTCACCAGCTTCCTGAACGTACAGCTGTGGGCATTACTGGTTGGATTACTTTCCTTCTTTCCCTTCCAGAAATATCCACCCACAGGGTTAATCCTGTGGGATTTGGGGGGCAATACACGGGTCCGAGTTCAGCCAAGGGAACTGCTGGGCGTTGCTAATGCTTTATTTGAGTTATGCTTGTCCCTCAGCCTCATAAAAATAGTCCCAAGGAAACATCTTGCTGTTGGAATATGAAAGAAGGCACTGGATGTCAGTTATGTTAAAAAATAAGTTAAGAATAATAATCCAAGGAGAGCAATTCTCTGGCCTCTCTAGTGTTTTCCTGCCCTGACTGGAAGGTCTCCTCCCTTCACCCTGGCATTGTGGGTCTGGTTCTCTCCAGGAACAAAGATGTCCCAGTGTTTCTGGCAAATCCCACCTTCCTGCCTTTGCCAAGTTAGGCAATATCAACCTTTCCTTGGCTATGAAAACCTCCCTTTACTTTTAAAAAAGCAGAATAATTCCAAGTACCGTCTGCTAAGCGTGAGCAGGTGGGTGATAGAAGGCAGTAGGGTGTAAGTCCTGCTGGTACCCCAGCTTTTCCCTTTGCCTTTTCCTGACCTGGTTGCTGTTTCCCCTGCCAGGCCAGGGATACCAAATCCTTCCAAGGGTCCTGGAATTGATGAACTAGAGTTGTAACTGAGACTGGGTTTGACTCAAGTTAAAGAGGGGTTGCTGAGCCTGCCCAGCATACAGAACCTCTGCCCTTGTAGAGCAACTGGGAACAACCAAGGGGTTTTACAGAAATCCCAGTGGGAGAAAAGGTTTGGATGAGCTTTCCCAGCAGCCAGGGCCCTGCTGTGTCTGCCCACAAATCCGTTTTCCATCTGTATTTCCTGCAGCCGACTCCAAGCAGAATGGGATGGTGTCTTAAAAGCTGGTGGGGTGGGAAAGGGGAAGATTTATGTTGATCTGCAATTCCACAAGATTATCCTTTCAGTCTGTTTTACTTTTGGAGTGTGGAGGACGAGGGGAAGTGGGGTGCAGTGGGGAACCAGTGGAATCCACCAGGCAACTGAGCTGGACGAGGCTTTTCTCTTTTTCCTTCTTTTCTTTTCCCCATTCCTGCAGAAACTATGTGAAGGATAATTTTAATGTGTGGGAGACGATAAGAGAGAGAGCAGTGGAAATGTTCTAAGACCTTTTACACATTTCTTTCACAGTCTGACTGCCCCTACTCAGAAAAAGTCCCAAGTATTAAAATACCAATGGACATCATGGAGCAGGAACCTTTCCTAAGTGATAGCAAACCTGCCGACAGTGAGTAGAACTAACCTCTTGCATGCCTGCTTGACTCTGACTTGCACTACAAATATATAAATATTTAGAGTAATTTTTTTTTTAAAATCTTTTCTTTTACTTGAGAAGTACTTTTTCTTGTTCTATTATTTTTCCTCTCTCTTTTTTAATTTCCAGGCCTCTGCTTTATGACAGATTTTGCTTTTGTGAGCTTTTTGGTTGGTTTTGTTTTTGTTTTTTCTTTGCTGGTTACAAAATCAATGTTGTTCCTTCTGGTGCCTCCAGCTTAAGTGCTTTTCTCCAGCTCCTGACAGGTCTCCTGGCCACCCACTCTCTCCTCTCCTCTCCCCCTCTACCCCTTGGTGTTAACCTGCTGATGGTGGGATTTATTTTTTTCCTCTGAGCCTGGTGTTCTGGATTTGCAGCGCTGTCCTGTCACTGTTTGTTCCCTTAGGTGCCAAGCAGTTGCAAAAAAAAAAAAATCAGCACTTAACAGAGTAATTAATTATTTGTGTCATTAAGCTGCCCAGGCAGGGATCAGTTGGTCATTAACGTATTTCCCTTCTTAGGTGATTTGCTTTTGTGCTCTTCTCTTGGTTTTAATTTCTCATGTTAATACCCATAATTGCTGATTGTAATCTTTATTTTCAGTCATTCCCACTTTACATTTTCCTCTTTTTAAGTGAGGAATCACAGCTGACCTTGCCTTTTTTGCCTTCGGGCTGACTTTTTAATATACTAAGGGTGTCATATGCTGTTTTGTTGTGAGATGGGAGGGGAGAAATACAAATTAGAGTAATAAATTACTGCTGCTGCCAGACTGGTAATTCCTGGAAGGAGGACTAAACCCCTAGATGATAAATCCTTAAATTATCCTTAGGGTTTAAGAACTGGGAAAGTCTCTCCTTTTGGTGGCATAGAGAGGCCTTGGGCAACACTGAGCATTGCTCTGTGAGTTTTAGATACAGAAACGCTTAGAGATTGGGGATTGTAAAACAAAAGTAATGGAAAAGAGACATTTTCCTGGTTATTTAGATATCCTCAGTGTTTCACTGATGTCAGCAAACCATCCAAAATCAGCCTCAGGCAACCACACATCCTCCTCATTCTGTGAAAACACTCTGATATGCTAAAAGCAAACTGCATCCTAAATATTGTTCCACAGGATTTTAGGATCAGATGCCCTGTTTTCAACAGCTTTATTGCTAAAATAGTTAGGGGAAAGTTAATTCTGCCATGTTGGAATGCCCTTGGAGATGGCATCCATGAGCCAAGCTGTGTTTGTGTATTGGTACATTTTTATAATCAAGTATTTGGTTTGTTGTTTTTTTAATGAGAAACAATGGGAAAAAAAAATTAAACATATCAAGCCATTGGAGTAGAAAAAACAACCAGAATTCAGTACCACTCTGGTGTTGTCCTTGGATGTAGCTGTGCTCTGCAATCCAAAGTATATTCCAGATAATATCGCTAACATCAGCTTTTCTCCAGCAAGAGCAGGAGTAGGGCTGTTATTCCCAGAGAATACACTTCCCCACAGGGTCAGGGGAGAGAAGCCAGTCCAGGCAACAAGCCACCCTATTTCTCTCAAGGAATGTGAGTGTGACAGTGGGATCACAGGGTAACTGAGAGGGGTAGATTCAAGGTAAGTGTCCAGCCCTAAAAGTGGGGAAACTCCTGGAAAACTGGGCCTGTTGGCACCTCAAGAGTTTTTATCTTGGAGAAGAGAGAGAGAGAGAGAGAGGAGTGGAGTGAATCCATCTGACAGGCAGCAGGAAAAGAGCTTTGCCAATGGATGAGGGTTGGAGAAACTGAGGCAGAGCTGGAGGAGCCATCAGTTCTTCATCAATGACAGCCCAGGCTTTCTTCCCCCCCTCAGGAGAAAAATCACCAACATTCCTTGAACGCCACACGTCGTGCTGATACAATTCCTTTCCTTCAATCACACGCCATGCCAAGGTAAGCACCTGGAAAATGCGCTTTGGAATCATCCCTGCTCCCCCTCAGCACACCTGAAGTTTGCTATAGGGAATTCTTGAAAAAAAACACTTGGAGAATGTTCCCTGCCTTGGATTGCAGCATCCTGAAGTGATTATGAACAAGTTGATTCCATAATTATTCCAGCCCTCTCAGTGCTTGGGATAGGAAGTGGAAAACCTGTGGGAGATGTGAAGGCTCCACTGGCCTTGGATAGACCCTGGCTGCAGCACTGAGGACTGGTTTGGGAGGCAGACCAGGAGAAAGACAGAAGGATTCCTCCTGGGAGGAGTCAAGAGAGGCAGTGCTAAAGGAAAATAATCCATTTTCCCATATTTGTAGTGGAAAATAGAGTAAACAATAAATTGCAGCAAGGAGTTAAGTAACAATTCCCCAGAGTTCAGTCCCTTGGGGCCACATGGGACTTCCCAGCACCAGGAGTTGGATCTGGACCAAGGCAAGGATAGTCCTCTGAAATGTCAAAGGCGTGTCTGTGCTTCCAGGTGTTAGAGAGAGTCTGAAATTCAACCCAGTGGCGATATCTGGATTATTTCAGTGGCAGTTCAGGAGTGTTGCCACAGCACAGGGCGAAGCAGGAAGATGCCCCATCCCTAGAAGTGTTCAAGGCCAGGTTGGACAGGGCTTGGAGCAAACTGTCTAGTGGAAGGTGCCCCTGCCCATAGCAGGCAGGCACTTGGAACTGGATGATCTTTAAGGTCCCTTCCAACCCAAACTGTTCTGGGAGTCTGTGAGGCACAAAGTGCTGAACACTTGGAGCTCCTCGGTCAGTGAAATGGGTGATCTCATCTCTTACCATGGGCATTGTTCAGAGCAACTCAGACTGCCTTATGTGATGTGTGAGGCTTATCTGAAATCCAGCTGTGTATTCCCACAGCCCAGAATTTGTCCCACACTGACCTTGTCTTCCTTCTTCTTCGCAGCCCTCCACGAACTCCAGTAAAAGTTGTGCCTCAAATTAGAATAGAACTTGAGCCTGAAGACAATGGTTATTTCTGGAGGAGCAAGGGAACAGAAACTACTTTGTAATTTGTCTGTCTGTCCAATCTTCCATGGAATTTATTTTGTCACTAGCCAAATATTAAAAAGCACCCTGCTCCCCGCTGGCAAAGGTAAATGAGCCACCCCGCTGCCCCTCTGCCCGTGCCCCCCCCCGGTCCCTCCGGGCCCCCCCGTGCCGACACCAGGACTCGGATTGCCTTCTCCAAAGTGTCTCCCGTTGCAACGAGGGCAGGAGCGTTAAGGATGCCACGTGGTACCCGTGGGAAGCGCCGGTGGTCGCGCGCCCGGTGTTTGTCTGGCAGAAGGAAGCTGAGCCTCCAGGCTGATTCCGTGTCTGCTCCCACTGCTCGGGGATGCTGGAACGTGCTGCTAACCCTCACACGCCCACCTGTAGTTAAAAGGAGAAGGTACTTCACTCCCAGCACAGACAGACCGTTGCCATTGCTGTAGCATGTTTGGAAACGTCCCTTTCCTATGCAATTTTTTTTTTAAAGAAACACTTTAATGGACTTAATCCGTCAGGTACATGGAAGAGTGTTATTTTCCTAGATTATTTTGTTTAAATTATGGGGGCCTAACCTATGACTGCTTTTTTTTTTTTTTTTTTTGTCAATTTTTTTAACCTTTTTTTAATTACTGTAAAGAAAAATGAATTTTTTTCCTGCAGCAGGAAACATATAGTTATGAGTAGTTCTACCTCTTATTTCTAGATGCCAGGCTTTCTGTAAAAAATGTATTGTACCATATATAATGTGATTTTTACAAAAAACAAACCCACCACACCACAATCTCCAGGACGTGGCACAGGGCTGGATCGGTTCCATTAACACCTTCTGCTCTGAAGCATCCGGGTTTTTTAGGCTTTTGTTGGTTTTATGGGTTTTCCTTTTTATGATTAATCTTCGCTATGAAGGAGACGGGATGTCATCTGCATCCTCCTGCATCCCACACCATCGTCTGTGGAATTTACCCTAAATCTTGGCTACTCAGCTTCTCAGCCCCAGACCCGGCAATGCAGCAGGACCAAGCAGGCCAGGCATGGGCATCCCAGGATTTTGGGGTGGAACCAAGTGAGCATCACCTCAGGAGAGGATTTTCTCTCTGCAGCGTGTTCATACTGGTGTGTGCACCTAAACATGCCTTTGGGAAACTGGGCTTCACCAGGACATGAGGGAACACACTAAAAGGTTCATCCAAAACATTAAAATAAGAAGAAAGAATCCCCGAGCTGTCCAGGCAAATTCCCTGATGGAGACAACCCTGCAGCAGAGGAAGGTGCGTGCTGCCGCTTGGTCCTTGTGAAACCAAAGTTCTGTTGGTG